GAGGGGGGGAGAGAGAGAGAGGAGAGAGAGAGGAGGGAGAGAGAAAGAGAGATAAAGGAGTAGAGATGGAGAGTGGAGGATACGGTATATGTCCTCTCTCTCTCTCTCTCTCACTCTCTCTGGAGTGAAAGGGAAAGAGTTAAAAGATCTCAAAATGGCAAATTCTGGTCCATGTCCTGTGTGACTCCGGTTTGCAGCCAACGAGTGCGATGGGGCCCAGGACTCGCAGCGCAGAAACCCGACCAGAAACACTGCAGCCAAATGGCAGCCGAGAGATATTGCAACAACAACACAAGACTCGGCTCAGCTCAGAGCGAAACACACACACAATTCAGCTCACATTACTCCCATCAACTCCCCCCCACCCACCGCCCCGCACCGCACTCTCGCTTTCTCTCTTTCTCTCCCCCTTCTTCTCCCTCGGTCGAAAAATGTACAGAGTGACCACAAAAAAGTCTTGTATGTCTGCTCCGTTACCTTACGAAAAGACTATCCCCCACCGCCAAGCTTATCGTCGCTTCTTTTCGGCAAACATCCCGCAGGTGCAGACCCCGGCAATCCGGAATAGCACGGCCGGGGAAACACGTCAGCAGCCGGTCAGGCAGCATCTATGGAGAGCTCGCTTTCCTCTTGCCGTGGAGGCTGCCCGGCTCGCTGCGCGTTCCCCGGCGAGCTCCGAGCTCCGCTTTGACTCACTCCGTTGTCTCTTCACGACTTATCGGATAGACATTGTGATGGTATCGCTGAGGGAGACATCATTTGCGAGATGCCCCCCCCCCTAATCTGAAGCCACGGAGGTTAAATAAGACACAGAATTTCAGCCCCCCCCCCCCCCCGCCGCCCCCAAGCCAGCTGTATTCTGTCGATTTCTTAGTTATGATAATAATAATACCCCACAGATCTATGGCAGTCTCACCCAAACTAAATAATAATAATTTAATCACTCAATCCACGACTGTTTGTGGGACGCTGCTGTGTGCAACTGGTTGCCGCGTTTCGTCCACAAAACACACGGTCACTTCACTTTACAGTATAGTTACTGTGCAACATATCCAACGACGTGACAAGGCGCTATATCAAATGCAAGGATTATTATTATTATTATTATTATAAAGGGCTTAGGTTATGTCCGTGCAGCCGCCTGTGCCCAAGGATCGCTAAGAGGTTTGTCAACACACAGCACTTACTTGCTATCAACACGATGCACTTACACGTATGCAGTTTCACCCACAAAATACACAGTCAGCCCACTTCACAGTATGTACTGATTTTAAATCTTATTAATTAGTCCTATTAGCCTTATTTAATTCAACTATCACAAGACGCTACGCTGTAGCCTTCCTGTTATTTATTATGAAAGCAGCCTTTACAAGCGACGCAGCAGGTAACAAGACAAGTTCTGCTGCCGTTTTCAACAATTATCCTCCGATCTGAGGATTGAATGCAGACTCGCTTGTCGTTTCCTTCTCTCAAAGTGCTTCACATGATGTTCCCTCCGACACGCTAATGGGTCATGTTTTTCCTGCAGATTTCATCACCACAGGGGCAGGCAGACTGCACAGTTCCAGAGCCCCAGTTCGCTGAAAGGGCTTATTGATTGGCACTCTCTTCTTCTCACTCGCTGAACTGAGGAAAACAGATGCTGAACTTTGTGGAGCCCTGTAGTGTAATGGTTAGAGGGCTCAACTCTTAAGCGAGAGGTCCCGGGTTCGATTCCGTGGCAGGACGAAACCTAAGGCACATTTCCTAACTCCACACACCTCCGGTTACTGAGCAGTATGTAGGAATCCGGTTGGTAGTCAATTGACAGATAGCCTTCCGGGGTAATAATCCTTCCCCAAAAAAACGTGGTCACTCAATCCACGACTGTTTGTGGGACGCTGCTGTGCGCAATTTGGCTGTTGCATTTCGCCCACAAAACACAGTCACTTCGCTTTACAATATACTCTGTGCAGGCCTTTGAGACGTCTCGAAGACGTGATAAGGGGTTCTATCAAATGCAAGGATTACAATTATTATAAAGGGCTTAGGTTAGGTCTGTACACCACTCTGTGCCTCGAGAGTAGATCGCTAAGAGGTTTGTCAACACAATGTACTTACACATACAGTACGAGGATTGTCGTCTGACTGAGCTGAACCCAGGGAGCCCAGCAATCCGAAACGCTGCCTATCCAGCATTCTTTCAATTAAAGTCAATGTTTCAAAACATTTTTAAAAAATCTTTCATGCTTTTACGCTTTAAAGTACCTTATTCAGATATTTAAGGTAAAATGACTCCAGAGAAAATTACATTAAGGGACGCCAGCTTTAAACATCACCCCTTGATGTTAAACTCTATATAACTTTGCTTGTAAAGAGTTAATTCACCGCTGAGCGCAATTGACTGTCACGTTTCGCCTACAAAATGTAGTTGATTCACTTTGCAGGAGATTTTGTGAAGCACTTTGAGCCGTCTCGAAGACGTGATCAGCCGCTGTATGAAATGAAGGATTATTATGGTTCTGTGAGGTTGACAGGGCAAGATGGCTTGGTCACTTATCAATCTACAGCAACAACAACTTGCATTTATACAGCGCCCTTCAGGCGGGGCAGAGGCTCAGAGCATTTAAATCTACTGCTTGGAATACCCGAACATGGCTCAGGTGTACTGTAGCTTTGAGGATTTCCTGTATTATATTTTAGCCTTGCCCCTCCTTCAGATCGCGCCTGAAGACCCTCCTCTTCGACCATCCCTACGGTCACCTCCCCCTTTCCCCCGGCTCGACATCGTGCTCCGCCACTATCAAGCGCTCTGGGGCGCTGCCCTGTGTGAGAGGCGCTGTGTAAATGCAAGCTGTTGTTGTAAACTCAAGGCAAAGCCATAAACCCTTCATTGGGTTCCTTCCAACACTGTGGTTGAGAACCTTTTGGGTTTGCAGGTCCAGACCAAAGTCCTAGCACTCACTCTCTGCCCAACTTGTTGGGACAGTGTCCACACTCAGTTTAACCGCAGCAACTCAAATAATGCAGTGCAGATTAATTCCTCAGAACGGTCTTTGGGAACTCTGATCAAAGGCGCATCATGTAGTAACCACCAAATCATAGGTCACTGCACACAGGTCTGGGCTTGGAAGAGACAAACCCGTTAAAACACAAGACAAACCCGTTAAAGGCATCGTCTCGATACGTGCTGAGTTACTGTGAGAGGCTTTTAAATTCGGTTAATAATAATAAATTGCAAACTACATCTACACGCCATTTAAACCCGCAAAATACAGTCAAACACAGCTCAATGACATGATAAGGGGCTGTATCAAATGCAAGGATTCTTCTTCTTTTGAAATCTAACATGCTGTAGTTCACGCCAATGAAGTCTTAAAAGACTGTGACCGCACGAGGCAATGAGTGTGGCTCTAAACTGATTCTGGTTCATTCAGCTGGGAGATAAACTCAGCCTGACTTATTGGCAGCACAATCGCTAGTTTGTGCTGCTACGATGCTGGGAGGCTCAACACATAAAACTCAGTGCCCCAGGATAGTGAGGAGCAAATCAAGCAGGGTTCCTGCACAGCAAGTTGCCTTTACAGAGTGCCCTTCACGTGGGGTAGCGTCCCAGAGCGCTTGACAACGGTGCGAGCCTGACGCCGAGCCGGGGGGAGGTGACCGTAAGCACGGTCGAAAGAGGAAGGTCTTCATTGCGCAACCTGAAGATGGGGAAGAAGGGATTGAGGGGAGAGGTTTCCGGAGTTCTTGTAATGGAATACCGGGCAGCAACCTCTGATGGAGGTGTGTGTGTGTGCGTGTGGGCGTGTGTGAGAGCGAGAGAGAGAATGAAGCTGATACATGGGATGCCTCCCTCTTGCTGAATAGCCTGACAACATCCACCTTTAAGCACCACACATAAAGCCAGTTACCGGAGGCCGACTGGGGAACCTGCAGAAGTCAAGAAATCAAGTTCAAAACGTCTTCAAAAGGAGAGAACGGGATAAAAGTTTTGTAGCCTGATGACCGGAATAGCTAACCGTGGAATCTCTAACCTTCAACTCCAATTGGAATCACCTTGACTGGCTTTTGAGCAGCTGCACATCTCAGTAGTGACAAGTTCCACCTCAGGGGGAATGGGGCAGATGCGGGAGCCCGGTGACTGTTACCTGAAGGAAACGCGTCAGCCAAGTGGGAAACTAAGGGCAAATAATATGTACATCCAAAGAGAAAAAAAAACTGCATTTAAAGTGCTCTTTCTCTTTTGATTACCGCACCTTCAGGTTTCCTTCAATGGATTCCAGCCAGACAGCGATATCAATGGCAAGTTATGTGGTTTTAGCTGGTTACACTCCAGCAGTTATCTCAACACACACTCTGGGGTCCCCCCAAGCCTTGGGATTTTTTAAAACCTCCCCCACCTACACATGCAAATTCCAATGATAGATTGTTGGAATGGAATGCGCCGTCTCTCTCTCTCTCTCTCTCTCTCTCCCCCCCCCGGAGGGACGCCTCCTGCTTACCTAATTCCGGAAAGTATTAAGCACAGATTGGCCCCGGCAAAAAAAAATTCCATAATGACGACTATTCCAGGGCAGTGTCAAATAAGTTAGCGGTATTAATAACTCAATTGATACTTCAATTCATATCATTTCGCTCACAAAACATGCAGTCAATTCACTTTACTATATACTCTGTGAAGGGCTTTGAGACGTCTCAACTACGTGATAAGGCGCTATATCAAATGCAATGTTTATTATTATTATTATTAGGGAATTCAGAGCAACGCTGAACCACATCAAGTATCAGAGCATTAAGAGTTAAGTCCTGACAAGGAGAAGTGGTTTGTACTACCATCTGTCTTCGGTACTGAGTATTGGTCGGGGTGGTGGGGTGGGGGAGAGAGTTAGAGAGTAAGAGAGACAGAGTGAGTGCAATGCAATTTAGGGAGGCCATCGATAAACTGCTTATACACCATGGTCACCTTAGAAAACATCCGAATGGTCCTCACACACACACACACACTATTACCAGGGGCGGGGGGGAAGGTGGGGGGGGGGATGTGGCTGCTGAGGGCCGGACGCTCTGTTTGAGAAACCTCTGTGGGCCGCATAAGCAATATTTTTGTGTTATAGAGGGAGTGAGTGGGCAGATGAAATGGAGGAAGTGGTGGGGAGGGAGCGCCTGAAATGGAGTGGGGCGCAGATAATATGGAGGGAGCGTAGGTGGGTGTGGGGTGGGGGTGGGGAGGGCGGTGTTGAAATCCGCCTGCTCGCTGCCAGGTGGACCGCCCTGACCTACAGCATAAACAAGTCAAGGTCAACATTGTTTTTAAGAAGAGTCAATCCTACTCTTTGGAAGAAGCGACTGCAGAGTGCTTTAGCCATTGTGTTCAACCAAGTAATGTGGAGCAAGCGTACACCAGCAACAGTATAACACGGGTAAAGAAGCGTCCATTTTTAGTTACATTGGCAGCGCTTCTTCAAACCTCCACTTCTTATAAGTTTTGACAAGTCTGCTACAGATATCGCAAAGTTTCATCCCCCCCCCCCCCCAAACAGAACTGTCCCTCCTGCCAACGCTGCAGATCTATTTAGCGAGGAAAACAATATACAGTATATTACAAGGACGTGGATGTTGGGATGTGTACGAGCCGTCCACATCCAATCTCGAAGCATGGCCTGTGTGTCAGAGGCCTCGGCGTGTATCAGGCATTGTGCCGTGTCCCGTTCTGTTCCGACGGTGATTTCTACCCGATTATTTCGATGCCGAGTTCTTCTGCGGTCTTTTCTATGTTGTCGCCTGCGCCTCCCTCCATCTCCATGGCAGGTTCCTCGCTCTCGGCGACGTGAGTCGAGTTGGTCAGGACGTAGTAAACGATCTCGCTCTCGCCCTGCTCGTTTGTCCGGTTGACCACACGGATAATCGGGCTTTTGTTGGAGTCGGAGTGGGAGGAGGAGCAGTCTAACGGCGGCTGTTGAAGCTGCTCTGGGCCCTCGCTCGGAGCGCTCTGCGAAGTACAGTAACTCAGCGTGTCCATGTGATGTCCCTCAGCGCCATGTCCCTCACCGTTCTCTTCCTCCACTGGCTCCAGAATAATCCCCCGGAGGTTGGCTTCCGACAAGACCAAACTGTCCGTCAGGCTGTCCAAACGCCCCTCCTGCTTCTCCCGGTCTTTCATGAGCTGCTCAGTCAGTTCCACGCTCTCGTAACGCACTAACTGGAGACGCATGTAGCCATCTTCGTGCTCCTTGTATCTGGACGGATGGGGAACAATACAAAGATGAGAGTGGGTGGCTTTGCAATTTTTTCTTAAACCTCTCTGAAGCATTTTACTGGGCAACAGGACAGTAAATTCTTGCTCAGCCTTCGATCCTACCAATAATCCTTCCTTGACAAGATACAAGGTTCTGTGTGGAGGCTTGGGGGGGTGGGGGAGGGGAAAGGGCAAAGAAAAAATGTATTTATCAGATGCCCCATTAAAAACATAGAGAAGCACCTGCTAAATACAGTACGAGTCACATAGGTCGTATCAGTTGGGAATATAACATTTATAACAGGTAGAATACTGCAGATATTGGAAATCTCCACGGTAAAGCTGCCTGACCTGCTGCGTTTCCAGTCACTTCTGCTTTTATTCCAGAAAATGTAATATGACTTACGAATTACTTTGCGCAAGCCATACTATATCATATAAAATATGATTTAATTGTGAGTCGTATAATATGTGATTTAATCAATCATCTGCCCTGCGCGTGTGCGTACTTCAATGCAGCCGGTAAGTTAGGAGATAATTTGCTTTATTAAATAAAGACCAGTGTTAAGAAATCGAAGTGTTTTTTGGAGCGAAAGTGAATGGGACTCATGTACGACTTAGGCAATTTTACGATTTATAAGAGAAGGCTTTCGAGAGATTTACTGTACACAGCAAACACAAACCTCAGAACAAACCTCGGCCAAGTGTCCTCTACAGACACGGCAAATCCATTTCAAGTCACCAGTTAACCTCTGAAAGAGAGATCACTAACCTAGAACCAGTTTATGGGCAGTTCTGCACTATATCCCCAAGTAACTGGGATTGAAACTTCCCCCCAAATCAGGTAGGGCTCTTAAAACTGAGAGAGAGACATGCGCGCAGAGAGAGCAAAGGCTGAATTTCTACATAAGAAAAATGGTTGAAGGAACTGAATATTTCTCAAATATTTGTGGAGTTCTGCAGCGTAGTGGTTACCGCTCTCGCCTTGCAAGCGAGAAGACCCAGGTTTGGTTCCCAGGTGGGGGCGAAACCTTAGGTCAGTTTCCTTACTCTGCACGTCTGTTTACCTAGCGGTAAGTAGGAACCCGGCTGTTAAGTCGATTGGCGGATCGCTTTCCAGGGGTAATAATCCTGGCAAGGCGAGTGCTCTTAACCAACACACTACAGAACTCCACGTGAATTGTGACTAACGGACCTGAAGCGTGGGTGACCTGAGGGCCACTTAAACTGATGTTTCTTCCGGAGATGCACAGTCAGGTTATTTCCTCTGGTGAAGCATTTGTCACAAACGTGACACTTGTACCTGGGTTCCAAATCCCCCTGAAAAAACAAGGTGAAGAAAATCCAGAATTCAGACAAAGTTCAGAAAAATTGGCCCTGAAATCTCCAGACCTTCCGCTTTGACCGTGGCCTTCGGTTATCCTCCCACCCCCATCGCCCGCCCACCCACCTCGATTCCAACCCCCCCAACTCGGGTGACTTGGGAGGTCATCCCGACTTAAAAGTCGATCGTCGGATCGCCTTCCGGGTAATAATCCCTCCAAATTGTTTGATAAAATTGACATGACTATTTGTGGGACGCTGCTGTGCGTAATTGGCTGCCGTGTTTCGCCCCCCAAAAATATACAATCATTTCATTTTACAGTATATTCTGTGAAGTGCTTTGAGACGTCTCAATGACGTGGTAAGGCGCTACATCAAATGCATGGATTATTATTATTCTAATAAATGCAATTTGTTGTTGAAAAAAAATAAATTCGTTGATGAGTGTGACATATCTTACAGTCAGTTTCAGGGTGAGAAAACAAGTCAGTAACGGACTTCTGTTGAGTGTTGGTGTGAGATTAAATACTACTGAGAAACTGCTTTATGAGGAAATGCAGAATTAGTAACCAGGAAATGTTCAGCACAGATGCGAAAGCCCATTCGGCCTATTGTATCTCTCCTCTGCCACCTGTTTCTCTGTGCCACGTAACGTACAGTTGAAGCACTCAACAGTTAGCCTGAATTTCCTCTGATCACGGGATATTAGTGAATGCTTAATAATTATAATAATCCTTGCATTTGATACAGCGTCTTATCACGTCTTCTAGACGTCCCAAAGCGCTTCCTAAAATATATTGTAAAGTGAATTGACTGTATATATATTGTGGGAAAAATACAGCAGTCAATTGAGACTATCAAGGCTGAGACTGATAGATTTTTTAAAAATAGAGGGATTAGGGGATATGGGGATAGGGCAGGGAATTAGAGTTGGGTCTGAAGATCAGCCATGATCTTATCAAATGGCGGGGCACAGGCTCAAGGGGCTGAATGGCCTACTCCTGCTCCTAATTCTTATGTTCTTATGTTCTTATAGCAGTGTTCCGCAAACCTTGGCGGATTATTATTTTGGTTTGTTTTATTTTGAGGGCTTACTATCCCCAGAAAGTGATCCGCTAATCGACTAACAACCAGGTTCCTACTTACTGTTAGGTAAGCAGAGGTGAGTGGAGTAAACAACAACAACAAAATGACACTTATAGAGCGCCTTTCACGTCGGGAGGATGTCCGAAAGTGCTGAACAGTCAGGTGTCGGGGCGTGAGCATGGGGGAGGGGTGGTGTAGGGGAGGCAGAGAGGTGGGAGGGAGACCAAAGACACGATCGAAGAGAAGGGTCTTGAGACCGGCCTTGAAGGACGTGAGGGAGGAAGCGAGGCAAAGGGACCGTGGGATAGAGTTCCAGAGTGTGGGGGCAGAGAGGCTGAAAGCCCGGCCACCGATGGTAGGGCGGGTCGGGTGGGAGACATGGAGTAGGCCGGAGCCTGAGGAGCGGAGGGAGCGGGCGGGTTGGTAGGGAGTCAGCAGGTCAGAGAGGTGGGAGGGGGCAAGGCCATGGATGGTCTTAAAGGTGAGGACGAGGATCTTGAACTCGATCCTCTGGGGGATGGGGAGCCAGTGGAGACGGGCGACGGTGGGAGTGATGGGGTCGGGTGAGGGTGGGAGTGACGGGGTCACTGGTGCGTGAGAGTACACGAGCTACAGAGTTTTGGATGATCTGCAGTTTGTGAAGGGAAGAGTTGGGAAGGCCGATGAGGAGGGAGATTACGTTATCGAGCCTTGAGGTGACGAATGCGTGGGTGAGGGTTTGGGGGCCTGAGGGGTGAGGCAGTGGCGGAGTCTGGCAATGTTGCGGAGGTGGTGGTAGGCAGTGCCGGTCATGGTGCGGATGTGGGGGAGAAAGTTCAGGGTCAAACAAGACACCCAGGTTCCTGACTGGCTTAGTGAGGGTGAGTGTGCAGCCGTGGAGGCTGATACTACCAGCGCCTGAGGTGTGGAGACGCTGGTGCAAGCCAATCAGGAGGGCCTCGGTCTTGCTGACGTTGAGTTGGAGTAAGTTGTCCCTCGTCCAGAACTTGATGTGAGATGGGCAGTTGGTCAGGACGTCAGTAGTCCTGGAGTTCAGGGTGGAGGCAGAGAGATAGAGTTGGTCCATTTAGTCCACATACATGTGGAAATTTAACCCATGTCTGCGGATGACGTCATCAAGGGGGAGCATGTAGAGGGTGAAGAGGAGGGGACCTTTCTTAAGGTTTTGCCCTGTCTGGGAATCAAACCTGGGTCTTCTCGCTTGTGAGGCGAGTGCTCTAACCACCATGCTACAGGACTCCATGATTAAAGCCAGCTTGACAAGGCATCTTTATTTTAATGCTGCAAAGTCAGACGTGGAAACCCTCCTCACCTCATGCACCTTCCTGTAGTGGGACTTAATGGAGTACTGGGAACGGGCACTGAAGGTGCAGCCTGTAATTTCACAGCGATAGGTGGGCTCCTCGCTGTGTGTGTCCAGATGTTTTCTCAGGTCCACAAGATTCTTACAGCTGGAAAGAAATAAACATTTAATCAGAGGACATGTGGTTCCACAAAGTAGAAGGTCCTGGGCTACCTCTCCAACCTGCTCACCCCCCAACCCACTGCCCTCCACCTCCGCTCGACTGGCTCCAGTGTCCTGCTTGTCCCTCATGCCCTCCGTTCCACCATCAATGGCTGCGCAGTACATGCACACAGCAAAATAATAGTGTAAAAGATCAGCCCTCAGCTTTAATCAAATGCAATGATTATTATTATTATTAGAGGGGATTCCCACTTTTCACTCAAATTTCAAAATACACAGTGCAAGAAGTTGAGTGCTACAGGTTTATTTAAACTCAGACATTTTGAGAATTTGTAGCTCATTGGGTTTAATCCTGGAATTGTGATGTGTGGTTCATATCTAAATAGTTTCCCCGATAATTACAGAGCGATCAAATGTAATCTGCGGAGAAGCATCGCATTGTATCCTACAAAAATCACCAGTAAGGTTGACAGAAAGCAACACCCACTGTCAACCAAAGGAACGTGAAGCAGGCACGGCAAGAGTTGCCAGGTAAAAGAAGACCATTTAGTTCGCCTTCCACCATCCTGGCAGTCATTTGCACACATCCTGTCCCAAACTATATACTGTATCCCACGATATTATTTCCTATGCATCTGATTTGTTCTTTCTGCTTCCACTGTCTCCCTGGGCAGCCTGTTCCATATTTTTACTACTGAAATAAGTGCTTCCGCTGATTTGTTCTGAACTTGCCCCCACTACAGTCGCAGAATGGAAACACGTTTGACCCACACACAAGGGGTACTGTACCTATATTCACAGTATTCACATCTGAAGGGCTTCTCGTCGCTGTGCCGAAATTTTATATGGTTCCGCAAAGCCGAAGGTGCTGGGCAGGTCATGTCACAGAATGGGCACTTGTAATGGTTCACTGGGAAACACAGCACACAAGGTTATCATTCAACACCGTCACCATATGATAGAAACTGTTACACGTGCCATACAGTAGGTAATACAGTAAACCTAAGTCGTATCAGTTGGGACCATTCAGTTAATACGACTAATGCAAAAGTATGACTTATGTCAAACTTGCACAGAACATAAACTCTTGAACGGACTTGGGCAGATGTATGACTTAGACGATTATATGATTTATAGGGATCAGACTTATGTGATTTCCCCTGTATTGTGGATTTCCCCTGAAAGTGCACAGCAAAATCATACAGTGAAAATCAGCCGTCAGTTTTAATCCATCGGGGATAAAGGTAAATTAAACTGAGCTGAAAGCTGACAAAGTAAATGGTTTAAGAGCTGAAAAGAGTTTGCATCTAACACAGTCCTTTGCTTACCGTGATGTCGCATGTGATCTCTGAGTAGCCTTTCTGTTGCAAACCTCTTCGAACAATGAGAGCATTGAAACCGCTGGTCTAAGCGAGACAGAGGAAAGAGGCGTTAGGAACCTGTGACAGGGGGATAATAATAATCCTTGCATTTGATATAGTGCCTTATCATGTCTTCAAGACGTCTCAAAACGCTTCACGGGATATAATTGTAAGGTGAATTGACTATGTATTCTATTATTATTTTCTTTATTTTTTTTGAGGGATTAATAACCCCGGAAAAGCGATTCGCAAATTGACTAATGACCAGGTTCCTACTTACTGCTGGGTAAACAGAGGCACAAGAAAACCTGCCTAATGTTTCACCCTGCCCAGGAATTGAACCCAGGTCCTCTCACTGGGGAGTGCTCTAATCACTGAGCAACGGGGCAAAATTGTAACTGCCTCCCTGTAAATAAAGGCAGCAGAGACCAGAGACAGGGTTTTTGATATGGTTCTGCAAAGCACATCATGTCACAACATGGGTACTTGTAATGTTCACTGGGAAACACAAGGTGTACATTCAACACAATCCCAATATGATAGAAATTATTACACGCAATTATTACAGTGGATTTTCTCTGGTTCCTTCATTTGAGTAGAGTGTGAAGAGATAGGGCCTCAGCACAAGGGGACAGGTCTGTTGAGGTTTCTAACGGTCTACGAAAGAGTTTTGGGGACAGGGAATCCTCCAACTCAGCTCCTGTTAACCCTGCAAGCCAAGGCCCTAATGGTGAGGGTGGACAAACAGCAGGAAAGCTTGTCAGACAGCACTCTCAATGGCAAGCTAAGCGGTTAGACTCCAGCAGTTACCCCGCTGCACACTCTCGGGTCCCCCCCAGCCTTGGCTCTTGCCAACCTGCACCTAATACTCTCCAGAATTAGGTAAGCAGGATGTGTCCCTCTAGGAAGAGAAAGAGAGAGAGAGAGAGAGTGCGCATTCTATTCCAACAATCTCTGTTTGGGATTTCCATGTGTGGTTGAGATGCATGAAATTTTCTTTTGGTTCGGAGATTCTTGAGCACAGTGATAAGTTTCCGCAAGTGTCAGACACCCAGCTGACCCCCCAAAAAGTATCCAATGGAGGGATTTTGCTTGCGTGAATATATTTTTCATACCGATAGATATATTTGATTAAAAAAAAACCTTCAATTGAAGGACATCGGACTTACATTCCATTGCAGTCTGTCTCCGGATGTGGTCAAAGAATTTGGTGTTGCTGGCAAACATTCCCCCACAGGTGGGACATGCCACCACTTTCTCTTGAGTGTGGCTGCGTAGATGCTCGCGGAGCTTGAACTTGACTTTAAAGGTCGCTTCACAGTCTTTAAGCCACGAAACAAACAAACAGAAAACTTTCAAATGAGCTGCTTTTTGCTGCTTTTTAAGGTAAGAGATCTGGAGAATTCTGTTCAGCATTTGCAATATAATAACAATATTCCTTGCATTCGACATAGTGCACCACCACATTGTCAAGATGCCTCAAAGCGCTTCACAGAATATACTGTGATTGACTGTAGATTTTGTGGACGAAATGCGGCAGCCAATTACTCACAGTAGCGTCCCATGAGCAGTTGTCGATTGAGTGACCAAAATTTTTTTTGGAAGGGATTATTACCCTGGAAAAGGATCCGCCAATCGACTATTAATTGGGCTGCTACTTACTGCTAGGTAAACAGAGGCATGTGGAGTAAGGAAACTTGCCTAAGGTTTCGAGCCCACCCGGAAAGCCAACCCGGGTCCTCTCGTTTGCCTAACCAATACGCTAGAGGAATCAACAATATACTGAGCAACTAACTCACACAAACCAGGAAGCTTGCTGCTGATCTGTCAAACCAGAAACCAGGTAACATGCTTGCCAGGTAATCTACTGAACTGTAGCATTATTATCCAGTTCTGAGCTCAGCTCACCTTTCCAGCAGCAGGGGATTATTAGATTAGTGTCGGAGATTGCGTCTCGGTCTGAACACATGCCGTGCATGTCCACGTGCCTGTAGAACCACTCGGGATTGTCAAAAGTGCTCTGAGCAGAAACAACAAAGGACAAAGCAAACAAATAAGCGTCTAATAACGGAAACAAAAGCCTTGCACGTTTCATCCTTGCATTTGATATAGGGCTTGCGTTGAACCTGTCTCGCAGGTAGTTGCTGCCGAGTGCAGTCACTGTATTTGTGGACAAACCCCAATACTCAACAACAGCTTGCATTTATATGGCACCCCTCACACAGGGTAGTGTCCCAGAGCTTGACAGTGGCGGAGCCCAACGCCAAACTGGAGGGAGTAGGGAGGTGAGCTAATGGAGGGGGAGGTGACTGTAGGGAGAGGGGAGTCACTGTAGGGAGAGGGGAGGTGACTGTAGGGAGAGGGTTGGTGACTGTAGGCACGCTTGAGGAGGAAAGTCTTCAGGCACGGTCTGAAATGGCGAAAGAGGGGCAAGGCCTAGGGATTGAAGGAGAGAATTCCAGTTTTGTGGAGTAAACAGCTGAAAGCGCTAGATTGAGTGGCCAAATTATTATTATTATTTATTATTTTTTTTCGAAGGATTTATTATGTTATTATATAGGAATTAAAACAAAAAAAACGGCTGACATGAATGCAGCAATTTTAAGCAGCGACTCACATCACAGTGTCCCCAGAGGCAGACAAAGCTCTCTGGGATTTCAGGAATGACGTTGCGACTCTGTTGATCCAGCAAACACTGCTCGAGCTCAGTCTGTGCCTGTAGGGACTGGAGACCCCAGTGCTTCAGTTTGGTGTGGTAACCGTGGAAGTAAACGTGACGCATCAGGTCAGCCGAGCTCTCCACAGAGTAGTAGCCACAATCCGCCCACAGGCACTGGTATTCCTCTGGTGAGCGAAACACAAGGAAGAACAAAAGTGGCATCAATAATAATAAAAATAATCCTTGCATTTGATACACCCCTTTGCATGTCTTCGAGACGTCTCAAAGCGCTTCACAGGATACACTGTAAAGTGAATTGACTGTACCTTTTGTGGGTGAAACGCTAAGGCATGGGGTAAATGTTTCAAACTCCTAGCACACTCTCAGAATGTCCAACCCACAAAGAAAAGCTTTGTTTCCCGTCACGCAAATTAGGTCCGAAGTGGCCTTTTTTCAAAAATCAACAATAACTTGAATTTACACAGCACCCGTCACGCAGGGTAGAGTCCCAGAGCGCTTGAAGAACGCTTCTCCGCTGAAGGCGTTCTTTTCGACCGCGCCTTTGGTCACCTTCCCCCCCACCTCCCCCCGGCTCGGTCCCGGGATCCGAAACTGTAAAGTACTCTGAGACGCTGTCTGGTGTGGAGGGCGCTATATAAACCCAAGTTGTTGTTGTTGTTGTTGACAGTGGCGGAGCACGAGGTTGAGCCTGAGTAGGTTTCTTAAGCAATTATTCAAAGTGCCACTTATTTAAAAACAAAGTGCTGCCTTCAGCTTACTGTCCGTTTCATTATGTGGCACAAAAAGATATTTCGTCCCCAATCTCCTCTGCACAACAGTTTTGAAGTGACAAATCCAATACAACAAGAAACAAATAAATAGTAACCAATGTTAGATATCATAATATTTCAATGCATAATAATAATCCTCCATTTGGTAATAGTGCCTTAGCACCTCATTGAGTCGTGGAAACAGGAGGAGGCCATTCAGCCCCTTGAGGCTGTTCCGCCATTCTATAAGATCGTAGCTGATCTGTAACTCAAGTCCAATTACTCGCCCCCCCCTGTATCCCTTGATACCCCGACCCATACATTGATTCAGTAAATGCCTTCTCATGAGGGAGTGAGAGGGGTGGGGAAGAAAAGGAGAAATTCAGCAGCTGATCTGCTCTAATAGAACGTTCAATAGCAAATCCAGAACGGCTCTGATGGACTCTAACCCCAGACCACAGCCAGACATTGGCCAACAGGCAAAGAAACGAGGAAGAACAGGCAGCTTTTATTACCCGTTACAGATGTAGCAAATTAACTGTGTGTTTTGTGGGCAAAACGTGGCAGCCAATAGCGCACAGCAGCGTCCCACAAACAGTCGTGGATTGAGTGACCAAATTATAATTCTTTTTATACATTGCGCCTGGAAAGGGATCCGGTAATCGACTTAGAAACGGGATCCTACTCACTGCTAGTAAACAGAGGCGAGTGGAATAAGGAAACTTGCCCAAGGTTTCGCCCTGCCCGGGAATCAAACCCGATTAACTAAAAGATGATGGCTAGCCGAAGTGAACTGAGTTGCTCAACAGCTAACGTTACTGTTACCTTGGGGTTCAATGTCTTCTTCTTCACCCTGGAGGTGCGCCTTTAAATGCTCGGCAATGTGGTTGCTGAAATCTTCCATCCGAGATGCTGTGAATCTGCACGACCCCCATTCACACAAAAGCACCAGAGAATCGTACTTCATATTCTTTCCCGGAGCCATTATATCACATCTGAACAGACAAAAAAAAAAGGATTTCTATGTGCAAAATAATTTTGTGTTCCATATTTACAATAATGCTTGCATTTATATAGCGCCTTATCACATATTAAGTGCTTCACAGAATATACTTGAATTGAATTGACTGTGTATTTTGTGGGCGGAATGCAGCAGCCAATTGCACAGCAGCGTCTCACAAAAGCCGTGGATCGAGCGAACAAATTATTATTGTTTAAAAAAGGGATTACCCCCCGGAAAGCGATCTGCCGATTGACTAACAACTACCTATTGCTGGGCACAGAGGTATTCGGTGTAAGGAAACTTGCCTAAGATTTTGCCCATCAGGAATTGAACCTGCGTCCAACGCTTGTGAGGTGAGCGCTCTAACCAATTTGCTACAGGACTCCACAGTTCTTATTTAGGCAATTTTTCTGTATTAGACACCTGCGAGTTTATTTCTTTGGGCGAGGAAAACACGGGAACTCACAGTCAGAATGTTTAACTGAACATGGCGGCAAAGCACGTGATTCAATTAAAAAAATAATGACGTAAATGCTCAACACTTTGAAATGAATTAATAAGCCACGTTAATCATAACACTGTCCAGAAATTGGTCGTTACAGTGGATGCCAAAACCCACAAGTCAGAAAGAGAAAGGGATAAGGCAGAGTGAGAACATTTAGTGGCACACGATCAAGCTGAGCTGTTTTGTTCTGTGTTTAGCTGAGCTGTGGTGTGTGTTAAGGAGTGTTGTTCTGTGCAGCTGAGCTGTGTTAATAATAATAATTAATCCTTGTTATATTGACTTGAGCTGTTCTGTGCTGTGTTAATCTGTGCTGTTTGTTTTGAGCTGTACTGGTTGAGCTGTGCGTGTCTGCACTGGGCTATTATGTTGAGCTGTTATTTTGTGCAGTTTGTTCTGTGCTGAGCTGTTGAGTGTGTTGTTGTATGTCGTGTGTGCTGTGTAGTTGTGTTTGTTGTATGTGCTGTGTTTATCTTGTGTGTATGTTGTGTGTGTATATGTGCTGTGTATGTTGTATGTGTACTGTATATGTTGTGTGCGTGCTGTGTATGTTGTGTGTGTATGTGCTGTTTATGTTGTATGCACTGTGTATGTGCGGTGTATGTTATGTGTGTGTTGTGTATGTGTGTGTGTCTGTCCCAGCGCTTTGGGAAGTCCTCCCAACGTGAAAATCACTCTATAAATGTAACTTTGTTGTTGTTGTGTATGGTATATATGTTGTGTGTGTATGTGCAGTGTGTACGTGCTGTGTATGTTATGTGTATGTGCGTGGGTATGTGCTGTGTATGTTGTATGTGTATGTGGTGCGTATATTGTGTGTGTATGGTGTGTGTGGGTATGTATGTGCTGTGTGTGTATGGTGTGTATGTATGTGCTGTGTATGGTGTGTGTGTGTGCTTTGTACAGTGTGTATATGGTGTGTGTGTTTATTTTGTGTATAGTGTGTGTTTATGGCGTGTGTATGTGCTGTGTACGGTGTGTGTTTATGGTGTGTGTATGTGCTGTGTATGGTGTGAGTGTATGGTGTGTATGTGCTGTGTGTGTATGCTGTGTGTATATGGTGTGTGTTTATGGTGTGTGTGCTGTTTATGGTATGTGTTTATGGTATATTGTGTGTGTATGTGCTGTGTACAGTGTGTGTTTATGGCATATGTATGTGCTGTGTATGGTGTGTATGCTGTGTATGGTGTGTGTATGTGCTCTGTGTGGTGTGTGTATGTGCTGTGTACGATGTGTGTTTGTGGTGTGTGTGTATATATGGTGTGTGTTTATGGTGTGTGTATATGCTGTGCTTGGTGTGTGTTTATGGTGTGTTTGTATACGGTGTGTGTTTATGGTGTGTGTGTGTGTATGTGCTGTGTATGTGTGTGTGCTGTGTTTATGGTGTGTGTTTATGGTGTGTGTATGTGATGTGTATGGTGTGTGTGTGTATGTGCTGTGTACAGTGTATGTGCTGTGTATGGTGTGTGTTTATGGTGTGTGTATGTGCTGTGTACGGTGTGTGTATATGTGCTGTGTACAGTGTATGTGCTGTGTGTATGTGCTGTATACGGTGTGTTTATGGTGTGTGTACGTGCTGTGTACAGTGTGTGTGTATCGTGTGTATGTGCTGTGTACGGTGTGTGTTTATGGTATGTGTGTGTGCTGTGTACAGTGTGTGTTTATGGTGTGTGTATGTGCTGTGTACGGTTGTTTATGGTGTGTGTGCTGTGTATGGTGTGTGTTTATAGTGTGTGTACGTGCTGTGTATGGTGTGTGTTTATGGTGTGTGTACGTGCTGTGTTTGGTGTGTGTTTATGGTGTGTGTATGTGCTGTGTTTGGTGTGTATTTATGGTGTGTGTATGTGTTGTGTACGGTGTCTGTTTATGGTGTGTGTATGTGCTGTGTACGGTGTGTGTTTATGGTGTGTATGTGCTGTGTACGGTGTGTTTATGGTGTGTGTATGTGCTGTTTATGGTGTGTGTATGTGCTGTGTTTGGTGTGTGTTTATGGTGTGTGTATGTGCTGTGTTTCGTGTGTGTTTATGGTGTGTATGTGTTGTGTACGGTGTGTGTTTATGGTGTGTGTATGTGTTGTGTTCGGTGTGTGTTTATAGCGTGTGTATGTGCTGTGTTTGGTGTGTGTCTATGGTGTGTGTATGTGCTGTGTACGGTGTGTGTTTATGGTGTGTGTTTATGGTGTGTGTATGTGCTGTGTTTGGTGTGTGTTTATGGTGTGTGTATGTGCTGTGTTTATGGTGTGTGTATGTGCTGTGTTTGGTGTGTGTTATGGTGTGTGTTTATGGTGTGTGTATGTGCTGTGTTATGGTGTGTGTTTATGGTGTGTGTATGTGCTGTGTATGGTGTGTGTGTATGTGCTGTGTTTGGTGTGTGTGTATGTGCTGTGTTGTGTGTGTATGTGTGTGTATGGTGTGTGTATGTGCTGTGTGTGTGTGTATGTGCTGTGTTTGGTGTGTGTATGTGGTGTGTATGGTGTGTGTTTATGGTGTGTGTATGTGCTGTGTATGGTGTGTGTATGTGCTGTGTTTGGTGTGTGTTTATGGTGTGTGTATGTGGTGTGTATGGTGTGTGTTTATGGTGTGTGTATGTGCTGTGTTTGTGGTGTGTGTATGTGCTGTGTTTGGTGTGTGTTTAGAGTCTGATTCTCACCTGAAGACAAACACACCAACTACACCGGAAGTGCGCCCCTCCCCCGCGAGCGAGTCAGTCAGAGCCACGAGTACTTCCGGGGCTTAACGGCCACCTGGCGGGGGCGGGGCGGGGGGCGGGGCNGGGGGGCGGGGCGAGCGGAGGCCCCTCCCACACACGGGCGGAGCCGCCGCCACGGCATTAAGTACCGAAGGTTCGCGAAGCTTCTGAACCCCCACCTTCCCGTACAGACACCGTCACACAGACAGACACACACACACACACAGACAGACACACACAGAGACACACACACAGAGACACACACAGAGACGCACAGACACACACACAGAGACACACAGACACACACACAGACAGAGACACACACAGAGACAGACAGACACACAGACAGACACACACACAGACACACACACAGACAGACACACACACAGACACACACACAGACAGACACACACACAGAGACACTGACACACACACAGACAGAGACAGACACACAGACAGACACACTGACACACACACAGACAGAGACACACACAGAGACAGACACACACAGAGACAGACACACACAGAGACAGACACACACACAGACAGAGACACACACACAGACAGAGACACACACAGAGACAGACACACACAGAGACAGTGACAGACACAGACAGACACACACACAGACAGACACACAGAGACAGTCAGACACAGACAGACACACACACAGACAGAGACACAGAGAGACAGGTGGAGGTGAGTTTGTGCCTTTAACTTTTTTTTCTAATTCACATCAATATTTTGATATATTAATATCAATATATTATATAATGTTTTACTTGTACATTATATATTGCATTACATATAGTGTACAACAACTATACCCTCTGAATTTTACACATTGAAATATTTTTATTTCATATAAAATATACATTAAGTGTAATATATTTGCTATACATACATCTGTATATTTATATTTGTTTATATTATATATATTTTACATAACACATATGTTACAGCAAATATATATATTTTACACAAATATATGTAAAATATAAATATTTTAATGTAAAATATATTTTTTTATCTTTACATAAAATATTTTTGTGCACAGCACATTTATATTTGCTCTAAACGTTAAAGAAATTAAAAAATTTGGGTAACAGACAGAGGGGCACACAGACAGAGGGGCACACAGACAGAGGGACACACAGACAGAGAGAGAGACACAGACAGAGAGAGAGACACAGACAGAGGGACACACAGACAGAGGGGCACACAGACAGAGGGACACACAGACAGACAGAGGGACACACACACAGACAGACAGACAGAGGGACACACAGACAGAGGGGCACACAGACAGAGGGGCACACAGACAGAGAGGCACACAGACAGAGAGACACACAGACAGAGGGACACACAGACAGAGAGAGACACACAGACAGAGAGAGACACACAGACAGAGGGACACACAGACAGAGAGAGACACAGACAGACATAGGGACAGACAGAGGGAGACACACTGACAGAGAGAGAGAGAGACAGACAGAGACACACATAGACAGACAGACATAAGGACAGAGTGAGACACAGTCAGAGAGCAGAAGCAATGTTTAAACTGTGTGACGTACCCGGTCTGACCAATCAGCGGCAGGGAGCAGACGGGAGACCTGGCCAATCAGCGGGAGGATCGCGGGGCGAGGCTGTCCAATCAGCTTCTCCGATGACTCTGATTGGCTCCCGCTGGCCCTGGTCGGGCAGTGCAGCGCTGCCGGGGGGTCCGGGGGAACTCGTAACCCGGAGCAAAGGTTCCGCCTGAGCAGTGCGCACAGAAACCCCACAGCGAACTGTGACTGATTTCACAATGATAACAATTCCGGCATTTGATATCGCGCCTTATAATAATAATAATAATCCTCGCATTTGATATAGCGCTTTTCACGTCGGGAGGACGTCCCAAAGCGCTTCACAGAACACACTGTAAAGTGAATTGACTGTATATTTGTGGGCGAACGCGGCAGCCAATTGCGCACAGCAATGTCCCACAAACAGTCGTGGATTGAAAATGACCAATTTATTATTGTTTTTGGTTTTGGAGGGTTTATCACGTCATTGCGACATCGCAAAGCGCTTCACAGCGTATACTGTAAAGTGAATTCACTGTTTGTGGACGAAACACGGCGGCCAATTACACACAGCAGCGTCCCCACAAACAGCCGTGGGTGGAAGTGACCGATTTATTATTTTTTTTCTTGAGGGATTATTATCGGGCGTATGTGTGGAGTAAGGAAACTTGCCTGAGGTTTATCTCTGACCGGGAATCGAACCCAGGTCTCTCGCTTGCGAGGCGAGTGCTCCAGTCACTGAGCTACAGGGACTCAACTTACTGCATACAGAGAAAGGGGCAAATACACCAGAGTGTTTTGAGTCTTACAACAACAACAAGATTGCATTTATAGAGCGCCTTTCACGTCGGGAGGACGTCCCAAGGCGCTGTACAGTTGGGTCAGGACCTGAGCATTGGGGGGAAATGGTCAGGGTGAGGGGAGGGAAGGGAGGAGCGAGGAGGGGGAAATGGTCAGGGTGAGGGGAGGGGAGGGAGGGAGCGAGGAGGGGGGAAATGGTCAGGGTGAGGGGAGGGAGGGAGGGAGCGAGGAGGGGGTAGAGAGTCGAGAGGGAGCTGAAGGCTGAAGGTCAAAGAGAAAGGTCTTGAGACCGGCCTTGAAGAAGGAAAGGGAGGAAGCGGCGAAGGCACTGGGGATGGAGTTCCAGAGCCTCGGGGCTGAGACGCTGAAGGCCACCGATGGTAGGGCGGTTGGGGCGGGGGACGTGGAGCAGACCGGAGCCAGAGGAACGGAGGGTACGGGCAGGTAGGGAGGGGGATAGTAGGTTGGAGAGGTAGGAGGGAGCGAGGCCGTGAATGGCCTTGTAGGTGAGGACGAGGATCTTGAATTGGATCCTCTGGGGGATGGGGAGCAGTGAAGGCAGAGTTTCGGGAAGCAGTGGCTGAAAGTGCGGCTACTGATGGTGGAACGGAGGGTATGAGAGACAACAGGAGGCTGGAACCAGTCGATCGGAAGCAGTGGGTTGGGGGGTAAGCAGGTCGGAGAGGCAGGGAGGTGCCAGAGCATGAAGGGATTTGAAAACGAGTGTGAGGATCTTGAAATCGATCCATTTGGCGATAGGGAGCCAGTGGAGCCCGGCTAGAACTGGTGTGATGGGGGTACAGAGTTTAATACGGGTGAGTATACGGGTGGCGGAGTTTTAGATTAGCTGGATCCTGTGCATGGTGGCTCGGGAGACCACGAAGAGGGCATTTGAAAAGTCGAGTCAGGAGGCGTCGAACGCACCGACGAGTATTTCGGCTACGGCTGGGGTAAGGTATGGTTGGGAGGCGGGCAATGTGGCAGAGATACATCAGCAAGAACTACCCAAAGCAGAACAAATCCACTAACCAAACAAACAGTGCAGTTCGTTACAAGCACCACAACAGACTGGAACTCGTTCTAACGCTTTAATGTCTCAAGGTTTAAATGACATTGAAAAAACATTAACAGCGTTGCTGGTGCCTGGCAAGTAACCTTGATTCGAATATTATGCATTAGGTTACAACAAAGAGCAAATGCATTAAACGTTCATTGGTATGTCAGACCTATTCATCGTAATGAAGTAGGGCATGACTCATGCAAAATTTAATTGCATTCTTACCATTTGTTTTGCTGCATATGTTAATTTTTATTTAATTGATCAATTTGATAAATTCTAACAAACAAGTTATATCTCTCTGATTCACTTGTACATATATATACATTGTACACACAACATATTTATTTTTTAAAATAATATCCAGTTGCACTTCACTTTGATCAATACTTCATTCATTAGTTTGGCTGCCAAATTGTACCGCGACGGAGAGAGAAATCAGGATAGGCTTCGTGAAACCACTCACATTGGGGATTACATTTTGAAACCGGTAGTGGGGAGTAACCCGTATACACCCAAAACATATCAAAAGGACACCCGGTTTGGGGAATCTTATGCAACACCATGTTCACAATGTGACGATAAGATGGTACAAAGTTATTGACCCAAAGTGTATCTTGGGGCTATCTTGGCTAGTTGTAAAGCTGATCTCTGCTGGAGGTTCTCATCAAGGTAAAGGCTCTCTATTCTATTTCTCTATTGAATAACAGAACCAAATATTCCCAAAGTCAATTGCAACATGGGTCAGATGCAAGATAACCCCCTGAAAATACATTTCAACACCAGTCTCAGGCATTTGGTTATACGCAGTTAATTGTTCTGATTTTTATTAGTCATGTCGATGCACTAGTGCAAATAAGGATGATAAGTGTGAGAGATAGACCATTTTCCACAATTTTCACACAACTTGTCTCTTTGAGTTGAGTATAAACAGAATCTTACATGATATTCCGTCCAGAAAGTGGATGTTACAGGAATCAGAACTGTGCACAACCCCAAATCGACATGACATTAAATATACGTCGTCATTATCAGTAATGTTGTAAACCTATGATTCAAGTAAACAGTGTTGATCAGAAACAAATACCTTTTATTTGACTGTCCCTTTTGAACATTTCCCACCAATTTCTACCGTAGAAATCAATCGGAGGGGAAGAGAAAAAAAAACTTTTTTCACATTGCATGATCTTGGGATAAAACCTCGGGCGTGTCATAGGCTAACTATGCAGTAATGGAATGATGCTGCCTGTGTAAGACAAAGCTACGCACACAATCAATTAATAATAAGCCTTGCATTTGATATAGCGCTTATCACATCGTTGGGACATCTCAAAGCGCTTCACAGAATATACTGTAAATTGTAGTGACTGTATATTTTGTGGGCGAAATGCAGCAGCGAATCGCGCACAACAATCCCACAGTTATGGATAGTGGCCAAATTATTTTTATTTATTTGGAAGGAATTATTGCCATTCCTCTGATAATCTTTTCTTCTGCTGAAGATCCAATATGGGAATTAAAATGCATCATTATTCACTTTCAATTTGAATGTGTTGCATGGAACTAGAAAAGGCTCTGATTATGTTCACCATAAGTGGGTTCTAATTGGTGGGTGTGGGATGATGCACAGTATTGCTAAACGTATCTTACTGTACATCACAAGTTCCAAATATGTAGGATAGTACTTGAATAAATTGCATGTCAAGCAATCTTTCAATGAATGATTCCTATTTGTTTTAAAACAGGTGAATATCCAGCACATTGAATGCAGGGTCAGTGCAGATCATGATCCATTGTGTAAATGAAGAGTATGGTTTTTGTTTTAAGATTTACGCAAATCTGCAATAAAAATATTTAAAATTTCAATGTGCCTCTCCTCTTCGCAAACAGCAAAGCGCAGATTTGGCTTCATAATATTTAACCATGAATCAATAAAATTATTCAATATCTCTGGTTAATAAATGCTGTCCTCCATCCAGCATGACTGGTTTGAAACACTGGATAAAGGACAATTTACTTGGAATTTAATTATTGTAACGTTGGCAGCCATACAGTTAAAATGCCAGTTAAAATGACATACAGTCATTTTAAGGTGTGTCTCTTGCTTCTTAAATTCTTCAAAAGGGTAATATTATGAGCTTGATTGTCCCTCTCTTCACCGTAAAAACAATCATCTGTTTTCCTCTATTGAAAAAGAAACAGAAAGCAAAAACAAATCTACCAACTTCATTTTCAGCAACATTATTCAGCAATGAAGTGCAGAAGCCAGAACCTAAGTCCCCAGCACTGGCCTAGATCAGCCGATAGGTGCTCAAGTGTCACCGAGACCCAGAGAAAGGACATTCCATCAGTGCAAAGAATCCATTCAAGTGCTCGCAGAGGGAATTCAGACATCGTAAAACCAACGGACGAAGTGGTATCGAATCGTGAAAGCAAATACACTTCCAATGACCTGAAACAGGAGAGATTGAAACTGATATAAGAGAACACAATACCTGGCGAGGAGTGATTGAGTTCTTAAACTTGATGAAAACAGGGATTCTATCGTGCTCCATAGAGTAATGCAAGATGTCTGGATTTCCAGCACATCAGTTTTAATTTCACTCTACACCACTGCCTATGGCATTGCAGACCACAGAGAGATGTCATGAATTCAAAGGAGCGGATATCATCAAAAGATCCAATTTACAGTGACCTCTAGTTCTCCCCTTACTATCTGATTCAACTGAGAATATACTGTGAATCAGGACATTTGTGAGCAATTTAACAATTTTCACAGAACCAGGTCTCTCAGTACTTAAATTTACTGCAAACTTCACTGAATAAAAACCTTCCCCAAACCGTCTCCTGCCTCCTGTCTTCACATCAGCGGAGGGTGAGGGGGAACAGTGAGTCAGAAGGAACAGAGGGTCAGGTGCCTGCTGTGCCTCTCACCTGGATGAGCAGAAGTATAATGGTCAGGTTTCTCTCGTGGGTGGGTCCTATCAGCTTTATGACAAAATTGATCAGCGTGAGGTTGTTGCACTCGATATATTCACCGTCTTCTCCAACTCCGTGCCTCACTTTCACGACCCGGAATGTCTCGGCCACCTGCAGGAAACATTGCACTTCGGTTTGAACAGATTTATAATCCTTGCATTTGATATAGTGCTTTATCACATCTTGAGCACAATCACACAAACCTTTAGGAACCAGTCACTGATATAACCAGTGACGAGTATGGCTTGGAAGAACCAGGCAATTTTGCATTTTGATTTAGCGCCTTATCAGGTTTATGAGACGTCCCAAAGCGCTTCACAGAATATACTGTAAAGTGAATTGACTGTATTTTGTGGGCGATTTCTTAAGGTAAAATATCTATGTGTAAGTAACTCTGTGTAACTAACACACATAAATGGCTTTCTTAGGATATGAGCAGCCATGCTAATGTTCAATATCTATATGTATCTACACTGCTGTGCACAATTAGCTGCCGCATTCACCCACAAAATATAAAGCCAATTCACTTCATAGTATATCCTGTGAAGCATTTTGACACGCATCAACGACATGATAACGTGCTATGTCAAATGCAAGGATTATCATTATTATTATACACAGTTGAATCAATACATTTTTTGTTGATAGGGTGCTCTCATTCAGACTATATCCTTCAATTCACGCAGACAAGGATTTTGTTTCACCACACGCACATATGTAGGCAAAATATATATTAATTTAAAATGATTACCTTTAAGATTAAATATCCAAGTTTAGGCAAATCATTCGTTTTGAACTTTGAGTAACTCATGCCCAGCTTTCCCGTAGCAGGATCCAGTCTGGAGAGTGGGAACAGAAGAGAAAGAACATCACTCCCACTGTGAACTTAATGCCCGTTTACTGCCATGTGTTAGTTAACGCCTCACCTTGAGTTCACTCTACTGCAACAACAAATTACACTTGTTTATTGCTCTTCACATCAGAAAGACATCCCAAGGTGCTGACAGTCAGGGGTTTTTGAACCCAAGCTTTGGGTCAGGTAGAATCTGACTTACAATTAACTTTGTAAGTTTGACGTAACGCATACTTTGCATAAGTCATAGTACAATACAAAATTACATTTGTAAAGTGCCTTTCATGTCGGGAGGACACCCCAAGGCGCTGGGACCATAATAAATGTATGATTCCCAACTGACTTATGTGAGGTTTACTGCATTATCTATTTAAAACGTGGTAAATTGCAGATTTAAATGTGGGCTTACCTTGGCAGCCGGTGCCGGGGGCAGGGAATGACGTGGATGAGCTGCGGTAATGAGTAGAGGAAGTTGAGCACCTGAGGGATGAAGAACAGCAGCATGGTCTTACTGAAGTGCCCGAGGATTCCCACCACGGCAAAGGTCATTCCCGCAAAATAACAGAATGTGTCGCCCACAAAGACACCAGATGGGTACCTGTGTACAAAGAGGAATGAAGATCAAAAATGGCTTTGCCACAGCACATTAATAATAATAATCCTCGCATTTGATACAGCGCCTTATAACATCTTCGAGACATCTCAAAAAGCGCTTCACAAGATACACCGTAAGGTGAATTGTCTATATTTTGTGCACGAAACACTAGGATAACAACAAACAACAAATTACATTTACTCAGGGTCTTTCATGTCGAGAGGAAGTCCCAATCCTGGACAATACTGATAAGATTAACGCAATTACTGACAGACAGGGAGCATCACTGAAGATAAAAGAGAAATGTCAGCACAACCCTAAACACAACACACCCCAAGTTAATGGGTACCTGATTGGGTCAGATGGGCGTTTACCTGGGAGTTGACTCCCCGAGGCAACAGCTCTGAAACAAAATGTTGACCTACCAGTTATGATACAGCAGACCTAATGTGGTGAAGAAGAAGGGAATCATGAAGTACAAGGAGAATAAATGATCGTCCTTGTAATCCCCTAAAAAGGAAACAAGCAAGAAAATACATGGGAGCAAACGAGACAATGGCTAATTTATCTTCTATACTAATAAAGACAAAATATCTGTCTGTCTGCCGCTAAGAACGCAATAACCGGTTGATGTAGAGACATGATTTATACATCATCGGAAAGGTCTTGCATGAGGAAGTGTCATGGGCATATTTTTTGCCGGACATCTCCTATTAAAAAATGCTTTAATTAAGATCCAAACATGTGAGTTACACATGGTAATCTGCAACAAAGTAGGGACAGAGGAAATCGGGAGAGAGACCGAGAGAGGGAAGAGAGTGGTGAAAAATAATTTAATGCCACATTTTTTGAATTAAATCTCTTTTCCCCCCACTCCCCCCAAAAATACACTGAATTTATGTCATTAAATGGTTTGTGAGTGGTATCACTGAAATCTCCTTCGGTTGCAAGCGTAGCTAATTCCTTATAAATGTAACATATTTATTCCCTTATGTATGTTGCAACTAAGCAGCTAACACTCAAAAATCCTGGTTAAAGTTAAAATCCTGATAAAAAACTCCTCTTTATTTTCCTCCTCTCACTTTATCCCTGCTTTCCTTATTCCTGCTTAATTTGACACATTAGTTTAACCTTATGCCTTACATTTGATATAGCGCTTATCATGTCGTTGAGATGCCTCAAAGCACTTCACAGAATATACCGTTAAAGTGGGACGACTGTATATTTTGTGGGCGAAACGCGGCAGCCAATCGCGCACAGCAGCGTCCCAACAGTCTTAGATTGACTGACCAAATTATTAATATTATTATTTAGTTTGGGTGAGAATGTCAACATATCAGTGAGCCCGAGCTCAGATCCCCACTGCACCGACACAGTACCGAAACTTTGCACCGTCCTTCCCACTGCAAGGTTTGAAAGATCAGCTTACCATTTAATTCGATTACATTGAAAACGATGATGGAAGAGGCAATTACCAGCGACTGCCCAGCCTCAATACCATTGATGCCTGCCAGAATATTGATGGCATTGGTGCAGAACACTGCCAGCATTCCCATGTACACATAATACAGGATTCCTGAAAGAAGACAGAAGTCTTTACCAAAGGAAAAAATTGGACAAGCTGTATATAGTAACAACAACGATAAATTACATTTGAAATATTTCAAGTGGTCTGTGTGGAACGCTATATAAATGCAAGTTGTTGTATGTCTTTGAAGTCCAAATGCAAGTCTTTCACGTCGGGAGGATGTCTCAAGTTGCTGAGTAATTGTAAGAGAGTTCCTTTTAAAAAAATCAAACTGGTTTATATCAGATCATAAATTTGCGCTTCGAAATATAATTTCCCTTGGAAGTTGCACCTGATCTACACAGCATGGGGTGTATACTGGCATAACATAGTGACACAGGAATTTCTTAAAGAGGAAGTGTCTGTCTGAATTCTCCAAAATCTGGAACCAGTTTGAACTAATCCTACAGGTGTGAATGACGCTGAGAATGAAGATGTTTTTAATTCCCCATTTGGCCTCAGAACTTATCCAGAAATAATCATTAGCTACTTAGATCCAGTGGATTTAAATAACTTGCTTCCTTTTAACCAACGATAATAATCTTCCCTCTGATACAGCGCCTCACGCGGCTGAAACTCTGGTCCACGCCTTTATCACCTCAAGGCTGGACTATGGGAACTCTCTCCTCGCTGGCCTTACCGGCCCTCCCTCCACACTGCAGGTCATTCAGAACTCTGCAGCTCGTGTACTGTCCCGCACCAGACACCGCGACCACATCACTCCCACCCTCGCCCTCACCCTCGCCCTCGCCCTCACCCTCGCCCTCGCTCGCCTCCACTGCTCCCCATCCCCCAGAGGATCCAATTCAAGATCCTCATCCTCACCTACAAGGCCATTCACAGCCTCGTTCCCTCCTACCTCTCCGACCTACTATCCCCCTACCTGCCCGTACCCTCCGTTTCTCTGGCTCCGGTCTGCTCCACGTCCCCCGCCCCAACCGCCCTACCATCGGTGGCCTTCAGCCTCTCAGCCCCGAGGCTCTGGAACTCTATCCCCAGTGCCTTCGCCACTTCCTCCCTTTCCTCCTTCAAGGCCGGTCTCAAGACCTTTCTCTTTGACCTTCAGCCTTTAGCTCCCCTCTCGACTCTCTACCCCCTCCTCCCTCCCTCCCCTCACCCTGACCATTTCCCCCCTCCTCGCTCCCTCCCTTCCCTCCCCTCACCCTGACCATTTCCCCCCTCCTCGCTCCCTCCCTTCCCTCCCCTCACCCTGACCATTTCCCCCCTCCTCGCTCCCTCCCTTCCCTCCCCTCACCCTGACCATTTCCCCCCTCCTCGCTCCTTCCCTTCCCTCCCCTCACCCTGACCATTTCCCCCCTCCTCGCTCCCTCCCTTCCCTCCCCTCACCCTGACTTTCCCCCCTCCTCGCTCCCTCTCTTCCCTCCCCTCACCCTGACCATTTCTCCAATACTCGGGTCCCGACCCAACTGTACAGCGCCTTGGGACGTCCTCCCGACGTGAAAGGCGCTCTATAAATGGAATCTTGTTATTGTTATCGTTTCTTTGAAACATCTCAAAGCGCTTCATAGAATACATTGTAAAGTGGATTGACTGTATTTTGTGGGCAAAAGATAGCAGCTAATTGCGCACAAATGCGTCGCACAAACAGTGGAGGATTGAATATGGTAACAGGATACAGTTATACCAGAATAAACTCCTAGTTTAGTTTTGCTGTTAAAACACAATGATGCTGGGAAGTGAATAGGAATCCTGCTGATAATCCTCAAACATACCCAAGTCCAAATGGAGCCCCATGAGGGAGCGGAAGGGCTTCGGTACCACAATGGTGGTGTTGCCAAAATTGGTGAAGTAGACCATGAGGAGAGGCAGGGAGGCCATGGTCGGCAACATCAGTTTGTGTCTCCATCGCAAGTTCAGGACATCGTCAGCAAAGCCCAGGAATATCATGCAGCAGATGGCGAGCAGCGCCCCAATCAACTGTACAAACTGGGAGCAAAATCCATGTTAAGATTATAACACAAAAATGGACACCTTTAATACAGATGTTGCACAAACAGTCGTGGATTGAGTGACTAAATTATTATTATTTTTTGGAGGGAACGTGATCCGCCAATCGACTAATAACCGGGTTCCCAATTCCTGCTAGGTAAGCAGAGGCGTGTGGATTAAGGAAATGTGTCTAAGGTTTTGGGGGAGACATTAACAAATGAGACAGTAACCAAATGTTTTGTCTCCTTGTTCAGGTGGAAATGACAGATTCGGATGAGACTGTTTGAAAGGAGAATGTTAGATGTAATGGCTGCATTTGCTGGTGAACGCAGCAGCCAATTTGCTCAGAGCAGTGACCATGAATGATCATTTTTGCAGGCTGGAGAACACAGGGAGAATCTCCCTTCCATTTTCAAAGAATGCCACAGGATCTTTAACCTGATCAGAACCAGCTCACCACAAACAAGTAGAGATGGTGTGTGTGTGTGTGCGAGATACTCACCACATCGTGGGGGAAGCTGGTGCATTGCTCCTTTACCCAGCAGTGCAGGAACGGAACAGGGATGAAACAGAAGAGAATGATGAGAAAGACGGCGCCACTGATCACTCCTTGGGATTCTGGGCTGTGGGAGAGATGAGCAGAAGTTCCATGTAAATAATAATCCTTATAATCCTGGCATTTGATACAGCGCCTCATCATGTCTTCTAGATGTCTCAAAGCGCTTCACAGAATATAAAGTGAATTGACTGTATAGTTTGTGGGGGGAACGCGGCAGCCAATTGCGCACATCAGTCCACAAACAGTTGTGGATTGAAAATGACCAATTTACTATTTTTTAAGGAATTATTACCCCCGGAAAAGCGATCTGCCAATCGACTAACCATCGGGTTCTTACTTACTGCTGGTAAACAGAGCCGTGTGGAGCAAGAAAATTTGCCCAAACATTTTGCCCTGCTGGGAATCGAACCCAGGTCTCTCGCTTGCGAAGGGAGTGCTCTAAACACTGACCCACAGGGATATGTGTCCCAAGTATCTGTGTCTGTCCTGTGTCCCTGAATCTGTGCCCTGTGTCTGTGTCTTGGTGTATGTGCCCTGATGCTATGCTCCTGTGGCTGTGTTTCCTTATACTGTGTCTCTGTGCCCTCTGTCAGTGTGTCTTTGCCCTGTGTTAGTGTGTCAGTGTCTCTGCCCTGTGTCAGTGGGTCTGTGCTCTGTGTCTGTACTGTGTCAGTGTCTCTGTGCCCTCTGTCAGTGTGTCAGTGCCTCTGTGCCCTGTGTTAGTGTGTCAGTGTCTCTGTGCCGTTTTAGTGTCCCCTTGTGTCTGTGTCCCTGTGTCTGTCCCTGTCCCTGTCCCTGTCCCCCTGCCCGTCCCCGTCCCCTGTCCCTGCCCCTGTCCCCTGCCCCCCATGTCCCTGTCCCCCTGTCCCTGCCCCCTGTCCCTGTCCCCTGTCCCTGCCCCCCTTGTCCTTCCCTGTCCCTGCCCCCTGCCCCTGTCCCCTGCCCCCCTGTCCCTGTCCCCTGCCCTGCCCCTGTCAACAACAACAACAACAAGATTCCATTTATAAAGCGCCTGTCCCCTGTCCCCTGCCCCCTGTCCCCTGCCCTGTCCCTGCCCCCTGTCCCCTGCCCCCCTGTCCTTGTCCCCTGCCCCCCCTGTCCCTGTCCCCTGCCCCCCTGTCCCTGTCCCCTTGTCCCTGTCCCCCTGTCCCCTGCCCCCTGTCCCTGCCCCCCTGTCCCTGCCCCCCTGTCCCTATCCCCCTGCCCCCCTGCCCCCCGTCCCTGCCCCTGTCCGTCGCTGCCCCCCAGTCGGTGACCCACATCTGTTGGCTGCTGGTCTTGTTGAGATCGGCCCCGTACAGTCTGGCTCTGATGAAATGCTCCTTGAAGGCGGGGATGAGGGTGAGGGTGGCCAGGCAGCCCAGCAGCGAGCTGCACAGGTTGACCAGCAGCGGCACGGCGGTCAGGCCCGACATGGGCCCCGGTCACAGCGGCAGCTCAAACCCGGGGGTGTGGGGGGGAGACACGGGCCAGGAAAGCTCGAGGCTCGATAGGCCCGAGCGCAGTGCGCCTGCGCGGCGGTGACCGAGCGGGCGCTGGTGCGCGTGCGCAGCTCGCGCGCCGCATCCTGGGAGTTGTAGTTTCTGCGTCAGAGGCTCCTCCCCCTCATTATTACTCAATATAATAACAAAGTAATATTAAAATAGCAATATAGTAATAATCCTCGCATTTGATATCACGCCTTCTCACGTCTTCGAGACGTCTCAAAGTGCTTCACGGACTATACCGGAAGGTCAATTGCAGAATAATAATAATAATAATAATCCTTGCATTTGATATAGCACTTTTCACGTCGGGAGGACGTCCCAAAGCGCTTCACAGAACACACTGTAAAGTGAATTGACTGTATATTTGTGGGCGAACGCGGCGGCCAATTGCGCACAGCAATGTCCCACAAACAGTCGTAGATTGAAAATGACCAATTTATTATTGTTTTTGGTTTTGGAGGGAATATTATTAGGCTCTGTGTGGAGTAAGGAAACTTGCCCAAGGTTTCGCCTTCTGCCTGGAATGTAGGGAAGTGTGAAGTCATCCGCCTCGGTAGAAAAAACAGTAGAGTGGGTTATTTTTTAGAAGGGGAGAGATTGGAATGTGTTAGCGTCCAGAGGGACTTGGGTGTCCTTGTACACCAATCACAGAAAGTTAGTCTGCAGGTGCAGCAGCAATTAGGAAGGGGAACGGTATGTTAGGGTTCATTATGAAAGGATTAGAGTATAAGAGTAGGGAAGTCTTGCTGCAACTGTACAGGGCCCTGGTGAGACCACACCTGGAATACTGTGTCCAGTTTTGGTCTCCTTATTTAGGAAGGATGTACTTGACTTGGAGGGGGTGCAGCGTAGATTTACTACGTTAGTACCAGGGATGAAGGGGTTGAGTTACGAGGATAGGCTGAACAATTTGGGCCTATATTCTCTAGAATATAGAAGAATTAGAGGGAATCTTATAGAAACCTATAAGATCATCAAAGGGCAATGACAGAGTAGATAGTGGGAGATTGTTTCCCCAGTTGGAGAAACTAAAACCAGGGGTCACAACCTTAAAATCAGAGGCAGCCCTTTCGCACTGAGTTGAGGAAGAACTTCTTCTCTCAAAGGGCAGTGAATGTATGGAACTCACTACCCCAAAGGGCTGTTGACGCTAAGTCCTTGAACCTATTCAAGACTGAGATAGATAGATTTCTTATTGCAAAAGGGATTAAGGGATATGGGGATAAGGCAGAGTCAGGTTATTAGCTGGAGATAGATTAGAAGATCAGCCATGATTGAATGGCGGGGCAGGCTCGAAGGGCCGAATGGCCTACTCCTGCTCCTACATGTTATGTCAATTGACTGTTTGTTTTGTGGGGAAACCCGGCAGCCAATTGTGTGGATTGAAGTGACCAAATTTATTAGTTTTTTTGTAAAAAGTTTTTTTTATTATCCCCGGAAAAGCAATTTGCCCATCGACTAACAACTGGGTTCCCAGTTACTGTTGGGTAAACAGAGGCGTCCGGAGTAAGGAAACTTGCCCAACGTTACGTCCTGCCCGGGGAAATGCTGCCAGATTGGCTGGGTTCACGCCGAATTGGACGTGTTTTTTTATTACCTTTGAGCGGAAGCTCAATTTTTATCTTAATTTTTTAGTTATACCTGTCATATTCATAATCACTCCCCCTCCCCTTTGAAGACTTCTTAAACAGTCCCAAAGCTTGTGGCTCTGGGAGGCAAAGGGATGGGGTAAAGATAGATCAACAACGATAATTTATATAGTGCCCCTCATGCAGAGTATTGCAACAAATCAATACTATTTTAAAAATCAAATCAGTAATAATAATAATTTAATAATAATCCTTGCATTTGATATTGCACTTTTCATGTCTTCTCGACGTCTCAAAGTGCTTCACAGAATAGACTGTAAAGTGAATTGACTGTATGTTTGTGGGCGAAGCGTGGCAGCCAATTGCGCACAGCAGAGTCCAGTAATCCAGTGAACGCAAAGGACACAAACTTGAGCCTGGCTGCCTTTATTGCCACCAGAAAGATCTTTCACACTTGAAAAATTGTTATTGATGCCATAGCGGAAGCACCATCTGGTGAGAGTCAGAAACCTTTACAGTGGAACAGACAGCAACAACAACAACAAATTACATTTACACAGCGCTTGTCACGTAGGAAGGATGGATGTCCAAAGGTGCTGGATTTGGACCTGAGCTGGGGTTTGGGATCAGGAAAGGTGGAGGACAGGGAGAGTGGGAATAGGAGGGTGATTGAAGGCGAGGTCAAAGAGGAAGGGTCTTGAGACGGGTCTTGAAGGAGGCAAAGGCTGGGGACTGTGGGATGGAGTTCCAGATGATGTTCCAGGCAGAGGCGCTGAAGGCCCGACCACTGATCATGGGGCGGGCCGGTCGGGACATTGAGCAGAGAGGGGAAGGAACGGACAGATCGGTATGGGCTTAGCAGATCACAGAAGTACGGAGGAGCAAGGCCATGGAGAGCAATAAGCCATTGATCAATAAATAGATTGAATAGAGTATGTGTACTGCTGAATAGATGGTCACATTTCTATTAAATCGTAAGGAGCTAAGAGGTTACATTTTCCCAAGAGTCCAGCTCTGCCTCCAGTTCCCTCACTTGCTCCAAGAAAGCTTGTTTCTTTGCTACCGCATTTTCCTGCATCGTCAGCACCGACTGAAGAGCCACAGTTAGCTCAGCAGTGAGATTATCGATCTTCTCCTCAATGCGCTCCCGCTCCAGCTCTGCCCTTGATTCCAGTCCATCTCTGCAAATACAGATATTAGTGTTTACCAAGAGCAACAACGCATAAAACATGGGAATTGCTAGACGAGAAAAGACCAAGGTCCATCTAGTCCAGTTCTACCATCCTAGTAGTCGCATGCTACAATAATGGAAACGTTGGGCAAGTTTCCTTAAACACAGGCGCCTCTGCTAACACAGCAGGACGTAGGATCGCTTTTCCGGGGTAATAATTCCTTCAAAAAAAATAATAAACTGGTCATTTCAATCGATGACTGTTTGTGGGATGCTGCTGTGCGCAATTGGCCGCCGCGTTTCGCCCACAAAATATAGTCAATTCACTTTACAGTATATTCTGTGAAGGGTTGTGGGACGTCTCGAAGATGTGATAAGGCGCGATATCAAATGCAAGGATTATTATTATTATTCATTCCTTAATACTTTGAGGCCAGCTTGGTAACTAGCACACAAAGGAGAGAGAAGGAACAAAAATCGCAGTGATTTACAGCTTTCTCTTACCCATTGCTCTCCTGCACTCTAATCCGACTCCACAGTCGTTGCGTATTCCTCTCTGCATTTGTCTTTGTGATTCCCTGGTTCTCCAGAGACTTTCCAGTCACACGGGACGTCCCAGCTTCCTCGCACATCTGCAGCTTCTGAAAGATATTTTTGGAGCTCAGTTTGGCAAGTCACTTGGATCCCCAGACGATCAGTGGAAGTGTCTCAAAAGTGGGTTAAATTGGACCAAATGGATTTATGTAAACTAACCTCAACACACGTGGTTACACTTTGAGCTATTATTTAAAAAGGAAGTACAATATGTCCATTCAGAACACCAGATACTCTTGTGTTGTGAGCCTCTCGGGCCTGAAATTCCACTCAGTCTCAGCCCGCAACACGATTTTGCCCTGCAGTTTAAGCTTGTTCAGAATTGCGAAAAAATTCTCAATCTAGTCCTAATTTAGAAGTAGGTTTCTCCCAGCTCTTAAAAAGAAACCAGCTTCCAAATTAAGACCAAGGTTTAAGAATTTTTGCAACTTTGCTTGATCTTGTCCTGTGGTGCATTGATTGGAGCACTCGCCTCAAGCGAGAGGACTTGGGTTCGATTCCCAGGTGGGGCGAAACCTTAGGCTAGTTTCTTTACTCCACAAGTCTCTGTTTACCTAGCAGTAATTAGCAACCCGATAGTTAGTCAATTGGCAGATTGCTTTTCCAGATATAATAATCCCTTTAAAAAATAATTTGGTCACTCAATCCACGACTGTTTGTGGGACACTGGTGTGTGCAATTGACTGCCACGTTTCACCCACAAAATATACGGTCAATTCACTTTGCATAATTCAGACGGTCAAAAACACGATAAAGCGTTATATCAAATGTAAGGATTATTATCATAAGTTCAGGTGCAATTTTAAATGAAGTCCAGAGTATGCTTTTTGCCAATCATTTCGTCTGAATACTGGTGTCTATTAAGCACTGACTGTGAACACCGTCAGTCTTTGGTTTTGTGTGTGTGTAATGCTATTTCCCTTTGTAAACCGATCAGTTGATCTGCAAATTTTTAAACAGGGAATTTAAGGAAGTTGATGAGTGTTGTCACCATGTTCCAAATTGGATGTTCAGAAACATTTGTATCGACGCACAACGTCTGGCCTTACATCGTTTTCAGTTGAGCTGATGACAACACAGCCCAGCCTGGCTCACCATCAGGACCTGGAAGGGCAGACCAGTCATTGAGGACAGGGAATCCTCCCACTGAGCTCCTGTTAAGCCTACAAGCCAATGCTGTAACAGGTAAGGGTGGTCCTAGCTGGACAGCAGGAAAGCTTGCAAGACAGCGCTATCAATGGCAAGCTATGCAGTTTTAGCTGATTAGACTCCAGCAATTACCCCCAACACACACTCTGGGGTCCCCAAACCTTGGCTCGTGCCAAGCTGCGCATCCCATGTATAGGTGGGATGTCTGGAATTCTCAGCTTGGTTTGGATACTCGGTGATGGGTTTCCGTGTCTGGCAGACACCCGGCTTACCCCCAAAAAGAGTTAAAATAATGTCTCACCTCAGCAGAGAATTCCACCTGTGTCGCCTCCTTCATATTCAGGTTCAGTAACTCGGAAATGGTGTCAAAATACTCTTCAGAGCAGAGTTCCCCCGGTAAGGGTTGTCCCTTGAGCGACGGCTCAGCTCACACGCTTGTGAAGCAGGAGTAAGGCAGAGTCGGGTGGAAAACATGTAATTGAATAAGGCTTTGACAGCCTGCGGATTGGAACACAAGAGCGGTTAACAACAACAAATAATATTTGCACAGTGCCTTTCAAGTCGGGAGCACATCCAAAGGCGCTGGACAGTCAGGGATTTAGACCTGAGCTGAGCTGTTGCGCCTCTTTCTTCCCTTGGATCTAGAAATGTTCAGACTTCAGATATTTCTTCTACTGCAGTCGGGTTCCCTGATCACCAATTGCCCTCCCATACCTTGAACATTATTCATGCAAATCCCCTTTTCACCTCCTACCTTTCTGACTTGCTTTCTCCCCACTCCACTACCCGCTGCCTGCGCTCAGCTGGCTCTGGTCTCCTGCTCGTTCCCTCCGCTCCACCGTCGGCGGCCGCACTTTCAGCCACTACACTCCGAAGCTTTGGAACTCTCTCCCTCAATGCCTTTACCTTCCCCACTTTTAGTTTGTGACTGAAGACTTTCTTCTTCCACAGTGCGTATGGGCACCTCATCCCTCCCCCACCAGCTCGATGTCAGACTACGCTACTGGTAAGCTCTCCGAGACACTGCCCCGCATGAAGGGAGCTATATGAATGCAAGTTGTTGTTGTTGACAGTTCTCAACTGGAATCCCCTGTATGCCAGGGGTCTTATCCTGAATAGAATGCTGATTTTCTGTAAACCTGGAAAATGTGTGGTTCCACAATTGATGCCCAGTGCTACAGAGAGGGATTTGAACCTGCAGCTCTGTGTCTTGGTTGTCCTGGCCCAGTCCAAGAAGTGCCTTTAACCACTAGACCTGCCCGCCTCATCCCTGTTTCTATGTAGAAGTTCATTTCCGAATGAATTGTGCACAAATACCTGGTGGAAGAGCCTGAGGAAGAGAGGATTGGTGTCATCGCTCAGTTCATCTGCAGTGACGTGAGCCAGACAGTGGGCCAAAAGGAGGGCAAAATCACCGAGTGATTTCAATCGTTGACGCCGGATAAACAGCCGCCTCTCGGAGTGCTGAAATACATTGGTTTCTTCAATAAATCTCTTACACAAGATTCACAGTCCCTGCACTTTGCAGTAAATAATAATAATCCTTGCATTTGATACAGCGCTTTATCAGATCAATGAGACATCTCAATGGACTTCACAGGATATACTGTAAAGTGGAGTGACTGTGTATTTTGTGGGTGAAACGCAGCAGCCAATTCCATACAGCAGCGTCCCACAAACAAGTCATGGATTGAGTGACCAATTATTATTTATTTTTGGGGGAGGATTATTACCCCTGGAAAGTGATCTGCCAATTGACAAACAACCGGGTTCCTATTTACAGCCATTAAATTAAATCTTAAATTAAATTATTAATATCTGAGCAGTGTTTTGGTATGTCTTCCTGATGCGAAAGGTGCGATACCAAATGTGATACCAATAATACCAATTGTTATTATTTATTATTAAAGTTGTCTTCCATTCCAGGCACTGACGTTTATTTCAGCCTGACATTTATTGTCCTTAATTTCTGCTTCTACTTCATATTTACTTCAAATAAAATTGGTCGCTCTCTGTTGGTCTGTTGTATGGGACACTGCAGTGGGTAATTGGCTGTCACGATTCGCCCACAAAACATACAATCAATACACTTGGACAATATATTCCGTGAAGCTCTTTCAGACGTCTTGAAGACGTGTTAAGGTGCTATAATAATAAAAATCTTTGTATTTGATACAGCGCCTTCGCATTGTCGAGACAGCTCAAAGCGCTTCACAGAATCTACTGTAAAGTGGATTGATTGTGCATTTTGTGGCCGAAACACACAGTCCACTCCATATCAAATGCAAAGATTATTAGCATTATGATTATTATTCTTTCCAGCATCTGCACGTTTCCTCTTTATCCCTGAGATGCATCGTGTACCTGGTAAAAGAAGGAGTTGCGGAAGGCGTTGTAAGTATAATCGTTGCGTGGCAAACTGCAGGCAAGAAGCAGACTGACCTCGGGAGCCTTTAGAGAGACCAAACATGACATTAATCTCTGTCTCACATGCTCTCGACGTCAAGGATAAAAGGTTCAGATCTAACAAGCCTCTTTGTTGGGATTCACGGCTTTGCTGGATCCCCATTCCTTAGAGGATCGAGTTCAAGATTCTCGTCCTCGCCTTTAAAGCCCTTTACGGTCTTGCTCCTCCCTCCCTCTGCATGCTACTAAACTGTTACCGACCTGTCCGTTCCCCCCGCTCAGCAGGTACTGGCTTTCTCCACGTCGCCTGGCCCACCCTGCCCACCCTGCCCACCCAACATCAGCGGTCAGGCCTTAGGGTTTCTGCCCCCACCCTCTGGACGTCCATCCCAGATCCCCTCCACCCTCTTCTCCCTTCTGCTTCCACAGAAAGCTCACGTTGATAGATCGTTTCATGAGTTGCACGATGAAGGTCCCGAAGCGATAGACGACAAATTCCGTCAGTGACAGCCTCTCGGGGTTTACTGGGATCAGTTCCCCTTCGCAAGTCCACTGGGCATCCAGCAGGTCAATAAAAGGTTGGTCTGTTACTACAAGAAGAAGAAGAATTCATTTGGTTATTCTCGAAGGCTCACTTTATTGAAGATTTTTTCTAATGAGATTGTAGCTTGGAGTTAATTTTCACCCATTTTCTAACCCTACTGTGTATTATACGTGGAATCCTATAGCGGAGTGGTTAGAGCGCTCGCCAAGTGAGAGGAACTGGTTTGATTCTCAGGCAGGGAGAAACTTTAGGCAAGTTTCCTTACTCCACACGCCTGTTTACCTAGCAGGAAGTAGCAACTCAGTTGTTAGTCGACTAGTAATAATCCCTTCAGCAAAAAAACATTTAATCTACAGTGTTTGTGGGATGCTGCTGTGCACAGTTTGCTGTCGCGTTTCGCCCACAAAATACACAATCAATTCACTTTACAGTATATTCTGTGAAGCGCTTTGAAACATCTCAAGGGCGCGATAAAGCGCTGTATCAAATGCAAGGATTATTATTATTAATATTTATCTATATATATGTAATATTATTAATTAATCATGTGACAGAGTTATCCTGTGTGACGTAAGCCGTCAAGACCTTGGTATCTGGCCATGTTTGGGCTCCACTCCTGTTGATGGTCTTCACTTTGTCCCAACACCTTTGGCTCCAAGTTGGCTTCCAGCTTTTCATCTGCTTCCTGAAGGTGTTGGAGCATTGGGGATGATTTCAGATGCTGAGCCTGGTCTCCCTCTGTGGGTGGGAAGTATCTCTGTGTAAAGCGGAACGTCAGTGCAGTCTATCCTCCTTGAATCGAGCCAGCCTTCTGTGGCGGTCTCCAGTGCCTTTCCTGAGCCAGGTTCATCTGCAGTATTCCAGGACACTCACTGCTGATGACAGCACAGCCCGGCCTGGCTCATCAGCAGGAACTGGAATGGCAGACCAGTCACTGGAGAAGGGAATCCTCCCCTCAGCTCCTGTTAACCCTGCAAGCCAAAGCCCTAATGGGTCCTAGCTGGACAAGCACGGGAAAGCTTGGCCAGACAGCAATATCAATGGCAAGCTGTGTGGGTTTAGCTGGTTAGATTCCAGAAGTTACCCCAACACACACTCTGGGCTCCCACCGAGCCTTGGCTCTCGCCAACCTGCACTTAATACTTTCTGGAATTAGACAAACAGGATGTGTCCCTCCAGGGAGAGAGAGAGAGAGAGAGAGAGCGAGAGAGAGAGCATTCTATTCCAACAATCTATCTTTGGGATTTCCATGTGTAGGTGGGAAGCTTGGAATTCTCAGTTTGGTTTGGGGAGTCTTAAGTAACGGTGATGGGTTTCCACACGTGTCAGACGCCCGGCTGGGCAAAAAAAAGAAGTCAAATTGCCGTGTTCACAAATAAAACTGACTCATGAGCCAAGGGAAGTCCTGTTGACCGCACATACTTACCCTGGAGTCCAGGATGACTGAACTCTGCCTGAAGTAATGGAATCCTCAGGGGGGAGAAGGTTGCCGCTTGCTGAAAGTCTTTGGTGACTGGGGAAAGGGGAGAAGGAAGGAACACATTGAGTAATAATAATCCTTAACAATCCTTGCGTTTGATACAGCACCTTATCACATCTTCGAGACGCTGCTGCGTGCAATTGGCTGCCGCGTTTCACCCACAAAATACACAGTCAATTCACTTCAAAGTATATCCTGTGAAGCCCTTTGAGATGTCTCAATGATGTGATAAGGCGCTGTATCAAATGAAAGGATTATTATTGTTGTATTATAATTAATTGTTGTTGTTATACCTTCAGTCAAAAGGTGCTCAATTTGACAAGAATATCGAGCATCGTCTTCCTGTTCCTCCACTGCCATCTTTTCCAGAATGTGTCTGAGACCCCAGGCTCTCTTCTGTTCCCTTCTGGCTTCTTGCTCCTTCTCGATTCGCACAGTCTCTTGCTGCAGAGAGGTCTGCTGGAGCCCCAGGCTCTCACTCTGCTCCTCCACCAGGTTCTACAAAGAAGGAAATTTTTGTGAAGTGGTGTCCTGTAGCGTTAGCGAGAGGACCTTGATTCGAACCTTTAGGCAGGTTTCCTTACTCAACACCCTACGATTACCTGGTTAGTTAATTGGCGGATCGCTTTCTGGGGCTAATAATTCCTTCCAAAAAAATGGTCATTCAATCCAAAACTGTTTGTGGGACGCTGCTGTGCACAATTGGCTGCCATGTTTTGCCCACAAAATACACAGGCAATCCACTTTACAGTATATTCTGTCAAGTGCTTTGAGACATCTCAACAATGTGATAAGATGCTCTATCAAACACAAAGATTATTATTATTATTCGAACACGCCTTCTTCTCCCTTCAGCTTGGGTGCCCGTAGCCAGGACCGTCAAGTGCTTTGGGAGGTCCTCCTGAAGCGAAAGGGGCTTATATAGATTTATATTGTATTGTATCCCACAATAGGTACTCGTGGTGATTATTTCTTGGGAGAAGAGTTACCTCTCGGAGTGGGTTGGTGAGCTCTCCTCTTTCCAGGTGGTCCTGGAGTTTCATTCTTTCCTCCACCGCCTGGAGATGCTGTTTTCGTTGCTGCTCAAACCGTTTCTGATCCATGATCTCTGCATCCACTTTCCGCTCTTCCTCCAGATCTGCCTCAAGCTCCTTCACCTGTGGATCAAGACCAGAGAGGTGAGAAGTAAAGGTCTGGGTTGATGTAAGTTAGTCAGTAAATTCTTGTTGGGTCCAAACCTATTTGGTTTGTCTTGTAGCTCAGTGGTTAAACCGTTCACCTCACAAACAAGAGGACCCGGGTTCGATTCTCGGGCAAGATGAAACCTTAGGCAAGTTTCCTTACTTCACAAAGCTATGTTTACCTCCAGTAAGTAGGAACCCAGTTGTTAGTCGATTGGTGGATTGTTTAATGGGGGTAATAATTCCTCCCCCCACAAAAAATAATAATAACTTGGTCACTCAATCTACAACTGTTTTTGCGGGACGCTGCTGTGCGCAATTGGCTGCCGTGTTTCATCCACAAAATACACAGTCAATTCACTTTACAGTGTATTCCGTGAAGTGCTTTGATAAGTCTCAACAACGTGATAAGGCGCTGTATCAAATGCAAAGAGTATTATTATTAATAAAAAACTCATCCCATAATCCCAACAAAACATTTTTTCCCTCTACGGCTTGACCTGGAGGACACTAAATTTGCTGTGATATGATATTGGCAAAAGGATTAGCGAAAGATTATTAAATATCAAATCCGTCCGGTAACTGGATTTGAGCTTCAGATGATCAGCAGAGATTCTGTTCTGGTTCACGAGAGAAGCGATTGAGTGGAAGCAGAACTAAGACAATCACAAGCAAACTGTGACTGTCACAGGGAGGTGAGTGGATGCTGTGAATTTTACCCCTTATAATAAGAAGGATAATCCTTGCATTTGATACAGCACCTTGTCACGTCATCGAGACCTCTCAAAGAATATACTGTAAAGTGAATTGACTGTATATTTTGTGGACGAAACGTGGCAGCCAATTGTGCACAGCAGCGTCCCACAAACAGTTGTGGATTATTATTTTTTTTGAAGGAATTATTACCCCCCCCAGCCCATGTGGATTGAACGCCTCTAGAACGTGTGGTTCTACCTGGTTCTCCTGCTTGTGCCTCCTGTCTTCACGTTGTGCTGTCTTCGCGCTCTTCATTGCCTCCAGTTCCAACCGCAGGCTCTTCATCCTCTCATGTCTGAAGCTTTTCAGCTCCTCAGCCAGATCTTCAGCTTCAACCACACCCTGCAAAGCAAAGAAGCTCATATGCCTACTATGTATGAAAAAGAAGTACATTAACAACAACAACTTATATTTATATAGCACCCCTCACGCAGGGGAGAGTCCCAGAGCGCTCCTCTTGATGTGAAGGGTGCTATACAAATATCATTTATTGTTGTTGCTGTTGACGGTGGAGAAGAACGAGGCCAAACCAGGATGACGGGAAGGTGACTATAGGCACTGTTGAAGAGGAAGGTCTTCAGGCAAGACCTGTAGATGGGGAAGGAGGGGGCAAAGCAGAGGGATAAAGGAAGAGTTTTCCAGAGTTTCGGGGTGTAGTGGTTGAAAGCGTGGCTACATTAAAGAAAAGGGAGAGCAAATAGATTGGATTAGATGGTTCCTTAGAACCATAAAAATCTACAGCACAGAAGAAGTCAATTCAGCGAATGGCTCAGTTGCAAGCCTAAGCATTCGAGTGGACAAAGGTCTTGATTGATAATATATAATAATAATCCTTGCATTTGATACAGCGCCTTATCACGTCTTCGAGACATCTCAAAGCGCTTCGTAAAATACATTGTAAAGTGAATTGACTGTATATTTTGTGGGCGAAACGCGGCAATCAATTACGCACAGATAAACAGTCGTGGGTAAGGAGCGTAAGCTAACCTTGTGCGAGGTGAACTTCTTCAAGGTATCAGCGAGCTCCAGCAGGCTGGTCTCTCTGAGCTCCAGCAAGGCCGTCACCTCCTGCAGTTCCATCAGGGCTAAAGGACGGCCTCCCGCATGTTCGCACACCTCTCTCATCTCCTCATCGGCCTCGCTCACCAGTGGCCACTGAAACAAAATCAACCGGCTCAGAATCACGTCAGCGTCTAAAGCAATTCAACATGACCCAGCTGTCAGGCCAGGTTTTTGGCTTCGTCACATTGCTGTGGGCAAGGATTTGAGTCTAGCAGTTACTGTCTTGATTCACACCTCCCAATAAGGAGGCTACTCGTGGAGCCCTGGAGGGTAACGGTTAGAGCACTCGCCTAGCAAGCGAGAGGTCCCAGATTTGATTCCCGGGTGGGGCGAAACCTTAGGCAAGTTTCCTTACTCGTCACGCTTGTCTTGACCTAGCAATAAGTAGGAACCCTGTTGTTAGTTGATTGGAGGATCGCTTTCTGGGCTAATAATCCCTTCCAAAAATACAATAATAAGTACATTTGCTCATTTAATAATAATAATCCCTCCAAAAAACAAAAACAATAATAAATCGGTCATTTTTCAATCTACGACTGTTTGTGGGACATTGCTGTGCGCAATTGGCTGCCGCGTTCGCCCACAAATATACAGTCACTTCACTTTACAGTGTGTTCTGTGAAGCGCTTTGGGACGTCCTCCCGACGTGAAAAGCGCTATATCAAATGCAAGGATTATTATTATTATTATTATTTAATCCACGGTTGTTTGTGGGGACGCTGCTGTGTGCAATTGGCTCCTGCGTTTCACCCACAAAATAGTCGATTCAAATAGTATATTCTGTGAAGCGCTTTGAGACGTGATAAGGCACTAAATCAACTGTAGCAATTATTATTATTATAAAGTGTTGGTGTGGGGCACAGTGAGGGGTACAGACCGATGTGGTGTTGCCTGGAGTTGTGGCTGTGAGCTGCTCTCTGAGCTGATGGAGTTCATGTTTGAGGGAGACCCATCGCCGAAGGTGACGCTGAACCTGGAGACACTGAACCATCCATTGGACCTCACTCCTCCCTCCGCCTGCCAGGGACGCTGCCATCGCTTGTTCTTCCCGTGACCGCAGCTGGAGAGTGGGGGGTGGGGGAGAGGGAAACTAATCACTAATAAATCTCAAATTCTATTAGCGTTTATATTCCCTAATGAGGACCTGGGTTTGATTCCCGGGCGAAACCTTAGGTAAGTTTCCTTACTCGATACGCCTCTGTTTACCCCGCAGGAAGTAGGAGCCTGCTTATCAGTTGATTGGTGGATCGCTTTCCGGGGGTAATAATCACTCCATAAAAAATTGGTCACCCAACCCACGAATGTTTGTGGGACGCTGCTGTGTGCAATTGGCTGCCGCCTTTCGTCCACAAAACACGTAGTCACTTTGCCTTTGCAATATATTCTGCGAAGCGCTTTGGGACGTCTCAATGACGTGATCAGCCGCTATATCAAATGCAAGGATTTTATAATACAAGTTGTTATGAGCAGTCTTTGAGTACAGAAATAGAAATTCGGGGCAAAATGCTGAAAAAAAGCAGTTTCGGTGAATTTACTCAACTTCTAAAGCGATCACAATTAACAATTAAAGTTACATTAGTTTTAATGTCTGTTCCAAAGAACGACACCTCCGACAATGCAGCACTCACCCCCTCTCTCCCCCCCCCCACCCCTCAGCAAGTCCTGACGTGGGGTTTGTACCCAAAACAAAGTGACTTAGAGACAGGAGTGAGCCAGGTTTGACAAGACGTTTACACAATGTACCTGTTTCTCTATAAGCCTCTCTCGCTCTTTGTGTTGAAACAGGAGTTCCTTTCTAATTTCCGCCTTACACTTCACGTCTAGTTTTGCTAACATCTCCCGGTGACCGACACTGACTGTTCTTCCAGACACAGCCTCGTGTCGATTTTCTTCCTACAGATCAACGCAGAATTCAGGGTTTAATCTCTTTACCACATTTTAACATTACAAATAATATTACCAATGGGTAGAGCGGACGGGGAGGGGGAACGGGGATTGGAGGAGGGAAGATGACCGAAGGCACAGTCAAGAAGAAGGGTCTTGAGATGGGCCTTGAAGGAGGCGAGGGAGGGGGTGAGGCGGAGGGACTGCGGGATGCAGTTCCAGAGAGCGAGGGCAGAAAGGCAGTAGTTGATAGTGGAGCGGGCAAGGCGGGGGATGTGGAGCGGGCATGTGCCTGGCAGATTGGAGGGTGCGAACAGGTTAGTAAAGGTTTAATAGGTCGCAGAATGTGAATGGTATGACTATTCCCACTGGTAGAGTGAATTCTTCAGCTGGCTTTCTCCATCGCTTGCGTTCTTCACTCTGTGCCTGTAGGAGGAGTGACAGCCTCTCCACATGCTCGTGCCTCAGACACTTCGCTACTCCAAAGGCCACGACTTTGTCTCTCTCCTGATCCCGTCCACTGCCAAGGCTGCCGTCAATCTCGCATGAACTCCACCCCTGGACAACAAGCCAAATACAATACAATTAGTCCTTTCCTTGCCGTGTCCCGTAGCGTAGTGGTTAGCACGCTCGCCTCGCAAGCGAGAGGACCCAGCTTCCATTCATGGGCGGGGCAAAAACTTAGACGTCTCAAAGCGCTTCACAGAATATGCTGTAAAGTGAATTGACTGTATATTTTGTGGGCGAAACGCGGCAGACGATTGCACACAGCAGCGTCCCACAAGCAGTCATGGATTGAGCTACCAAATTTTTTTTTTTTGCAGGAATTATTACCCCGGAAAGCGATTAGCCAATCGTCTAACATCCGGGTTCCTACTTACTGCTAGGCAAACAGAGGCGTGTGGAGTAAGGAAAGTTGCCCGAGGTTTCACCCTGACCTGATCGGGATTCGAACTCAGGTCCTCTCACTTGCTACGGTATTCCACACTTAATGAGTCCTAACTATAGACCCTACCTGCAGCTCACTGTAGGCCTCCAGAGTGCCGTACAGACGGAGCTGTTTCTGTATATCCTGGGTCACTAACTTGGAAGCTTCCAGCTGTTCCCCAGTTTGCAGTCGCTCAGCTTCCAGAGCAGCGGAATCCTCCTGTGAGCTCTCACTCCCTGGAACAGGCGCGCGCGAATTCCCATCGCTCAGGGTTGATGCCATAAGCCCCCTCTGTGGAGACAATCACAGTGTGAATTATGACCCGCTGGCTTTAGTCTCAACTCAAGGCTGCCAGCAAGGCTTGAGTTGAGACTATCAAGTTGGTTGAGTTGGTCTTTTTCTGTCTAGTAAATTCTCATGAAATAATATCTGGGGACACAGTGTATAGTTTGGGACATGACATGTCATGGAAGGCGAACTGGGTGGATCTTGGTCTTCTTTCGCCGAGAAAATTCTTATGTGCTGATGTTCTTAACAAGGCTTAAGCAAGTTCTGGGCTATTCCTCAAATGTGTTTGTAACTGAAAAAAGTTGTGTCAACTCCACTCGTAGCTCATAAATAAGTAAATAAATAAACATCTGCCAAACGACTAACAACCGGGTTCTTACTCACTACAGAGGATGTGGAGTGAGAAAACTTGCCTCAGCTTTTGCCCGGCCCGGGAATCGAACCCTGATCCTCTAGCTTGCAAGTGCTCTAACGACTACACTGTAGGACTCCACGATAGGTGGGCCTACTCCAATACTCACCCCTTTATCCCCCAATGCTTCGGGCACTTTGCTCTTCACCCACCCAACGGATTCCTGGCAATCTGACACCAAAAGATTCAGGTTGCTCATGACATCTTCGTCTGTTTCCAGGATGTTCTTCGGTATGACCAGAGCAGGCTCCAGACCTGCTTCGGTCACCTCTGCCGTCTGCCGATCGCACAGCATCTGTTTCGCGACTCTTCGCTTTTGGCTGAGATCCGCCAGCGAGTTCTTCAGCTGCTCGGAGACTTCCTAAAGATTAAGATAATATATAATAATCCTTGCACTTGATGCAGTGCCTCATCACGGCTTCGAGACATCTCAAAGCGCTTCATCGCAAGTTACTAAGAGTGATGCGGCATGGAAACACGCCATTTGACTCAACTTGTCCGTTCCGGTGATAATTATTATTATTATTATAATACTCCACACGAATCTCCCCCCATCCTGTTCACCTATTCCTGTCCCCTTCTATTTCTATTCCCTTCTCTCTCACGTGTGCATAAAGTTCCCCATAGAATTATGTGACCAAATGGAAAGCTCGTTGTAAAACTTGGGGTCGGTTGGTGAGGCCAGGGTATAGATGGAGCAAAAGTGGTGTTGTTTCTTGTAAGACTGATGGTCAGAGCTTCAAAGACTGAATGTAATAGCGACCCATGATGCTGACCTTGTCTTCTCCATGTCTCATCTTTTCTAGGATACGGTAGATCACCTTCATCTCCTCTGTCAGTAGAGAGGTCTCCAAGCTCAGCATTTGGATCACGTGGCGCTCGATGTGGAGCCTGAAATTATCAACGATAAAATAAATAATAATAATAATAATCCTTGAATCTGATGCAGCGCCTGATCACGTCGATGAGACGTCTCAAAGCGCTTCACAGAATATACTGTAAAGTGGAGTGACTGTGTATTTGTGAGCGAAACGCGGCAGCCAGTTTCATACAGTCGTGGATGGAATGACAACACTTTTTGGGGGTGGGATTATGATTATTTGGGGGTGAAAGTGATCCGGCAATCGACCAATAATCGGATTCCTACTTGTCGCTAGTAATCACTTAGATATAATTAATTCACGCAATGATCACAAATCTATGTTATTGCTGTTACCACCACAAATACAAACAGACGGACAGACAAACAGACAGACACACACACAGACAGACAGACAGACATACAGACAAAGACAGATAGACACACACACAGACAGGCACAGACAGACAGTCTGTCTGACTCCTGCTCTTTACCTAATCGATGCCTGTCTCTGTGCGTAGACTCTCACGCTGGTAGGCGCTGGCACACAGGACACTGGTTCGAGGAGAGTCAGAGAGTGTTTGGAAGATTCTGACAGTCCTTTCCTTGTGTTATGAGACTCAGCACCTGCTTGAAGCAGATAGTAATAATAATCCTTGCCTTATCACTGTGTTGAGACTTCTCAAAGCGCTTCACATATATCGTAAAGTGGAGTGAGTGTGTGTCTCATGGCAGCCAATTGCACACAGCAGTGTCCCACAAACAGTCGTGGATTGAGTCACCAATTTTACATTTTTTTAAAAAAAGGATTATTACCTCCAGAAAGCGATCCATCAATTGACTAACAACCGGGTTCCTACTTACTGCTGGGTAACCAGAGGTGTGTGGAGTAAGGAAACTTGCCTAAGGTATCGCCCCGCCCGGGAATCAAACCCAGGTCCTCTCGCTTGCGAGGCGAGAGCTCCAACCACTGAGCCGCAAGGCTCCAGGGATGGACACCACCTGAACTGCTCCAATCCAACAGCGAATGATCATAAGGATGCAGGAGCACACAGAGTTGGACGAGCGAGCAATTTCTCTAGGTGTAGTGGCTAAACAAATGGTTTCCTCCTGCCCGGTATTATTGTGTCACAAACTCTCCAGGGGATTTCTCCGCGAACCGCAACAAAGCAGAAATAAATCCAGCCTTAAAATAATTCCAAGAGTTACCTTTCTTCAACACAGGATTCGGGTTCTCCTGAGGTAGGGCTCTGTTCCTGTCGACCTCCATCAGACTGAGCAGTTGTTTTAGAAGACGCAAAACGTTTTTGCTGGAGGAAGGGCTTCCACTCCCGACTCCCAGATGGTAGTCCCCATAACAGGAGAGAGATCCCGTCAGAACTCCCTAGATTGACATTCATGATTGACGTTAATAGTAACAATAACCCTCACAGCGCCTCATCAGGTCGTTGAGACGTCTCAAAAGCACTTTACATAATATACCGTAAAGTGGATCAACTGTGTATTTTGTGGGAGAAACCCCGGAGCAGATTTGCACACAGCAGTGTCCCACAAACAACGGCAACAACTTGCACTCATATAGCGCCCCTCACACGAGGTAGGGTCCCGGAGTTCTTGGAAACAGCTGTGAAGTGAGTGGCCAATAATATCCTGGGAAGGAGACACTGGGAGAAATTCCCTTCTCTTTTTTTGAACAGGGGCCTGGGATCTCTAACGTCCACCTGAACAGGCAGACGGGATCTCGGTCTAATATCTCATCTAAAGGACGGCACCTCCGATAATGTAGGACTGTAATTGGAATGTCAACCTGGAGTATGTTGGTACCCAGTCCCAAGGTGAGTCTTGAAGCGACCACCTTCTAACTCAGAGACAGGAATCACTGAGCCAGGCTAACGCCCGCATGATACTGGGACCTTTCTAGTGCTTATACCCTCGCTTCGAGCATGTACAGTTCCGACAGAGCTCGGGCATGTTCCAATCTGCTGTATGTCAAGTCCATCTCCGTCTGCCTGCTCATCAGGTTTCTCTGTAACTCTTGCATCAGGTGGGTTTTCACCTATAAAAAGGGGTATAAGAAAACAGAGACAAAGCACCAAAGTCTTATTTATTGCAGGCAAACACGGTGGCTGTTTTACATTCCTACAAACAGCCAACAACAACAGCTTGTATCACAGTGCCCCTCACTCAGGGGAGCGCCCCAGAGCGCTTGACCGTGACGGAGTAGGACGCTGAGCCAGAGAGAGGGGGAGGTGACCGTATGCATGGCCCAAGAGGAAGGCGTGACCTGAAGATGGGGAAGGAGGGATGGGGGTGGGGGCAAGGCAGAAGGATAGAGGGAGAGTGTGCCAGGGGTTTAGTGTCTGAAAGTGAGGCCACTGAGGCCACCGAAGGTGGAACAGAGGCACGAGGGACAAGCAGGGAGTCGGAGATGGTCGAGCGGAGGCAGCGGATAGTGGGTTGGGGAGTATCAGGTCATGGAGCTAGGGAGGTGCCTGGGTGTGAAGGGATTTTCCACAGGTTGAATGATGATTAATCTGAGGCATGAATCCCAGGGGTCGAGAATGGAAAGACTCCCTCCTTCTTTTCCGAGTAGGGATACTTAGCATCAGCCTGAAAGTAGCGAGGCAGTCAGTGAGAGGGGGAATGTCAGACAAAGACAGATTCTAATAATAATAATAATCGTAACATTTAATATAGCTCCTCATCACCTCATTGAGATATCTCAAGGGGCTTAATAATTAATAATAATTAATAATAATTGCTGCATTTGATTTAGTGCCTGATCACGTCTCAAAGCGCTGCACAGAAGATACTGTAAAGCGAATTGACTGCATATTTTGTGGGCAAAACGCAGCAGCCAATTGCGCACAGCAGCGTCCCACAAACAGCCGTGGATTGAGTGCCCAAAATATTATCATTTATTTAAAAAAACATTTTTGAAGGGATTATTACCCATAAATCGAACCACCGATCGGCCAATTTACTGCGAGGTGAACAGAGGTGTGTGCTGATGTAAAGAAAATTACACAGGTTGTGTAAATAGCCGACCGTGCTCACCTGCTGATACCTCAGTGTGGAGGAATCTCTTTCCCGAGGACTCACACCCTCTCGAACTCGGCATATGTGCTGCCCCAGTTCCTGCCTCACCCTGTGGGTAAACTGTGTCACGGTGTCCAGTATCTCCTGTGTCTCAGTCAGCCACCTCAGCTCCCACTCCATCTCCTCTCTGGCTCCTGTGTGTGAAAAGCACGGTGAGCCTCAGGGTGCGGAATCCATTGCTCCTTTAGGGGTCGATAATAAGTAATAATTTGGTCACTCCATCCACGGCTGTTTGTGGGGACGCTGCTGTGCGCAACTGCCCGGCCACGTTTCGCCCACAAAGTATAGTCAATTCACCTTACGGTATATTCTGTGAAGCGCTTTGAGACGTCTCGCCCACTTGGTAAGGCTCTGTATCAAGTGCAAGAATTATTATTATTATTAATTATCGGAAATTACCTTGAGAAACTAGACGTACGATGTCGGCCGGGACATCGTAGGTGGCGGAGTATGGTTCCTCCGTGTATCTGAGCTGAGCCTCCGCCCCGACAGACTGCCGAAGAGAAACGATGTCATCTTCCAGATCTCTCGCCCGCTCTTCAACCTGACGAGAATCAAAAATAGGCAAAAAACAGACCCAGCTCACGTCCGTTTCAACCACTGGCACACCCCCTCCTCCCCCTACACACTGAACAACCACCTCTTCTTAACAATTGCAGACATTTACAGCGTAGAAGAGAGGCCATTCGGCCCATCGAGTCTGCACCTTTTCTCCCAGCAAGTTGTCCACACAATCACCCTGCTCTGCCCAGCCCCCCTTCGAGCCTCCAGTGCTGCGAGATTCTACAGTTCTACACCAACAACAACTTGTGTTTACGTAGCGCCTTTCATGCAGGGTAGCGTCCCGGAGCGCTTCACGGTGGCAGAGTCTGACACCGAGCCAAGGGCGAGAGGGAGGGAGAAGGTGACCGTAAGTATGGTCAAAAAGGAAGGCCCTGAGGCGGGATTTGAAGGTGGGGAGGGAGGGGGCAAGGCAGAAGGGTCGACCGAGAGAGTTCCACAAAGTCCTGTTACCCCCAAGTTTTTTTCCTACAGAGCACTGACCAACAACTGAAACGTGTGGAAGAACGGCGTTAATTGTGTTTCGAAGCGCTCAATTGCATTGAGTGTTCGCGTAAAGTCGTATTCAATGTCACGGTCCCGACTGATACTATTTCTGTGAGTTTTACGGTACTGTATACGGTTAAGAAACGAAGAGTGCGCCACCTTCTCGAGTGCGTTCTCGGCTCCGGGGTCAAGCACCCGCCTCAGCAAAGCTATGACATCAACGGCGAGAGCTCCTTCTCTGTGTCGCTGCTGTTGCCAGTACACGCGACGAGTCCTCAGCTCCTCATCACAGCCGTCAAACTGCGGGGAAAAAAACGCAGAGGATTACCAGCAAACCTGCCGTCAATGGGGAGGGGGCCGTGGGGGCCGGTATGTGCGCACGTGTCGTTTTCTGCTATTCGGTGCAGCTGATAAGTGTGGGAGTATTATTAGAATTATACAGCACAGAAGGAGGCCATTCGGCCTATTGTGTCTGTGTCGGCTCTTTGAAAAGAGCTTCCAAATCAACCCCACTCCCCCGTTCTCTCCCCATAGCCCTGATCAACCCCACTCCCCCACTCTCTCCCCACAGCGCTGATCAACCCCACTCCCCCGCTCTCTCCCCATAGCCCTGATCAACCCCACTCCCCCGCTCTCTCCCCATAGCCCTGATCAACCCCACTCCCCCGCTCTCTCCCCATAGCCCTGATCAACCCCACTCCCCCGCTCTCTCCCCATAGCCCGGCAAACTTGTCCTCCCCAAAAATCTATCTACTTCTCTCTTAAAAGTTGTTATTAAATCGGTTCCCACCGGCCTTTCAGGCAATGCATTCCAGATCCCAACAATTCGCTGTGTGAAAACATTTCTCCTCCCCTCTCCTCTGTTTCTTTTAACAACTATTTTAAATCGGTGTCCTCGGGTTACCGACCCCCCCGCTGCCAGTGGGATTAGTTTCTCCTTAATAATAATAATCATTGCATTTGATACAGCGCCTTATCTCACATCATTGAGAGGTCCGTCTCAAAGTGCTTCACAGCATATACTATAAAGTGAATACACTGTATATTTTGTGGCCAAATCGCGGCAGCAATTGCGGCAAACAGTCGTGGATTAATCGAGCAAATGTACTTTTTTTGAGGGATTATTACCCCTGGAACGCGATACGTCAATTGACTAACAACCGGGTTCCTGCTTACTGCTGGTAAACAGAAGCCTGTGAAGCGAGGAAACTTTCCTAAGGTTATGAGTTAGGGGGGTGTCTGTCGGTGCTAAACGTACCATTTCTATCGCTGCCTCTTGTCTCGTGTAACCCAGTCTCTGGGTGACAGGGAGTACAATTCTGCTCCGTGGGTCTACACGAGCACCAACAACAGGGGCGATCTCACCTGTCACGGGGTCAACGCATCTGGCACCAAACATGATTGGGATCAGCCCTGGGAGAAAACAATAAGTGGTGTTATAGATCAATGAGCTCATAAATCAATGAACGAGAGACTGAGTTGAGACTTCCCATTGACAAGCTTAGCATTTGGAGGAAATGGGTATCATTTGATCCAGAATCTTGCCTCTTGGGACAATTGTGGAGTCCTTCTGCCAGTTGTCTTGCTTTATATCTCCCCCTTTCCTACTCCAAATTTCACTCCAAATTCCAATCAATCAGCCGCTCATCTTATGGTTTATGGGATGTCCCTTGAAGGTCTGTCTCAAGCCCTCTTCTTCTACCGCACCTTCAGTCACCATCCTACCCCTACCCTCCCTGCCCTCCACCACTCCTGATCCCACCCCCAGCTCCAGTCCAAACCCCTGACTGTCCAGCAGATATACCGAGTTCAACATCCAGTATGATGAAACAGGATAACTGTTTTCAGTGACACTGACTAATGGGATGCCTTATCTCTAGCATCAGTTACTTTAATGATGTAATATTTTCTACTAGAAAGACTGCAAGCCAAAACCCTCATAGGTAGGGTGGTCCCATCTGGACAAGCAGTGGGAAAGCTGGCCAGACAGCGATACCAATGGCAAGCTATATGGTTTTAGTTGGTTAGAATCCAGCAGTTACCCCAACACACACTCTGGGCTCCCCCAAGCCTTGGCTCTCGCTAACCTGCGCCTCATACTTTCCAGAATTAGGTAAGCAGGATGTGTCTCTCCTGGGAGAGAGAGCTCGAGAGAGAGGGCATTCCTTTCCAATCATCTGTCCCTGGAATTTCCATGTGTAGGTGGGAGACATGGAATTCTCATTTTGGTTTGGAAACTCTTAAGCACAGCGATGGGTTTCCGTGTGTGTCAGACACCCGACTGCCCAAAATGACACAGGGGCTTTTTTTAAAAAAAGGGATCAGTGTAACGTATTGCCAGCTGAGTGTGGATGTATAGTACCTTTGCCATCAGGATCTTCCATCGTGCCAGCCAGGGGGATGAGCTGCCCGCTATGCCAGTCACTCTCCACTCCCAGAATGGGCACCTCCAGATCAGAGCCTCCGGGATCTGGGATTTCCATCCCGATGAGAGCAGGTATTAGCAGCCCTGTGTTCCCAAACGCTATCACCCCTACAGCACAAGTGAAAGCTGGATTGTTAGCAACTCATCTTCCAGGGTTTGATGCCGGGCAGCGCAAAACCTTTGGCAACTTTCCTTACTCCGCGCGCTTGTTTGCCGAGCAGTAAGTAGGAACTCGGTTATTAGTCGAATGGTGGATCACTTTTCTGGGGTTAATAGTCCCTTCCCGTCCAAAAACAAAATGTGGTCAATTGATCCACGACTGTTTGTGGGTACGCTACCGTGCGCAATTGGCTGACGCGTTTCGCCCACAAAATACACAGTCACTCCACTTTACAATACACTTTGAAGACTTCTCAACGACGTGATAAGTTGCTGAATCAAATGCAAGGACCCTATACTTGCCAGGCGGGCACGTCAACCACTATGCTACGGTACAGCATGAGGATTATAATGATTATTGTACAAGGGCGGTTACACAGGTACAGACGCGTTGCGTGGGCCAAATGGCCTCCTTCCGCGCTGATGGTCTCTGTGATTCTGCGCACGTTTACCTGCAGTTCCGCCGTCGCTCGCTAAGCTCCCCGCTGCTTGCCGCTGTGTCTCCAGGTTGTGTGTGGTGTGAACGAGATGCGCCCAGCCGCGAGCTCGGACACCAGCAAGCTCCTCCAACGCGTTCTTCAGGACCCCCAGTCGCTGCGAGGGAAGGGGGGCATCTCGCAAACCGGAGTCAACGATGGAGTCTCTGTATTCCCTCAGGGCTTGGAGAGCGCGGAGCTCGCAGGTCAGGGTGGCGGAATCCAGCATCGCCAGGTAACCACCGCCACACGGCACGGCTTTAACCCCTTCAAGCCCAGCCCCGGAGATCCGGGTCCACTTCCCGCTGAGCGGCTCGGCAAACGGGTCGCCAAGAACCATCGGCGTTCCCCAAGATGGCCACACTCCCCCCACAGGGACTACCTCGCCTGAGAGAACACAGAGACCGTCTTTGTCAGCGACTGTTATCAATGAGCTTCTGCAACGCCAGACTGAGCAAAATCCTCATCGAGTGAAAATCAGTGAATGTTTTGCAACGAGTAGACATCTGAAATCTGAAGTTCTACCTGGTCTTAGCCTTGGGGACCCCAGAGTGTGCCTTGGGGTAACTGCTAGAATCAAACTAACTTGGCTAGAAAACCCGTAGGGCTTTGGCTTGCTGGATTAACAGGAGCTGAGTGGGAGGATTCCCTGCCCCCATTGACTGGTCACAGCTTCACCCCTCCCATCGCCTCACCCCCTTCCCCCTCCCTCACCGACCCTCCCCCCACCATCACTTCAACTCTGCTGCAGCTTCTCCTGAATCTTTTTCCTTCACGACTTGTGAGGTTTGTTACTGCGGTTACCCTTGGGAACTGCACCCCACAGTCCCTTCCCCTCGCCCTCTCCCTTGCCTCCTTCAAGGCACATCTCAAGATCCATCTCTTCAACAGCGCTATCGGTCACCCTCCTACACCTATACCGTCTCTGCCCTCCACCCCTCCTGATGCCAACCCCCAGCTCGGGACCAAATCCCTGACTGTCCAATGGGTGTCCTCACGACATGAAAGGCGCTGTGCAACTGTAATTTGTTGTTGTTGTAGAGCCATGATTGGAGATTCCCCCATTACCTGTGTTGGGATTCAAGTCAACGCCTAAAATTGGTACGATCTGCCCAGTCTCCGTGTCGCTCATCATGGCTCCGATCTCAATGGGAGCCAGCGTCTCCGTGACCGGGCTGAGGTATGTGCCTCCCAGTGGACAGACCAGCCCCGTCCGAGGGTGAAGGGTCACGGCCAGGATGGGCACTCGGATGCCGGTCACCGGGTCGGGCATGGGTCCTCCCAGCCTCAGCTGGCTCACGGGACGGAGACTCGGGAGTCGCAGTCTCACCGGGAGGCCGGTGTCTGGACACAGAGGGTACGGCACATAGGGAAGGAAACACTCCTCACCTTTCCAGACGTCTCCTAGAGTTTCACACAATCAGGTCAATTCCACTGCTCTGTGCAAAGCAAATCTCTCAATTGGTTCACAGTGAAGAACTGGCCATTTGGCCCATCAACAACAACTTGCGCTTACACAGAATCATTCAATGTGGGGCAGCATCTCGGAGATCTTATCGGTGGCTCTGAGCTCCTGCCCCACATTGAATGGATCTGTGTAAGTGCAAGTCGAAGGTACAACCTCAAGATGGGGAAGGAGGGGGCAAGATGGAGGGGTTGAGGGAGAGGGTTCCAGAGTTTCGGGGTGTAGTGACTGAAAGTGCGACTGCCGATAGTGGCATGAGGGATAAGCAGGAGGCGGGAGCCGGTTGAGTGTCAGTGATACGTAGTGGAGTGGGGAGTAAGCAGGTCGGAGAGGTAGAGAGGTGCCGGGGCGTGAAGGGATTTGGGGCACAGCTGGCCCTAGAGGGCACTTATGTGTCTGTGTATCTTCCATTTAACATTGGCTTCCGGTTCAGTGAACTGACCTGTTGCCGAGTCTGTCATGGGGACCAGCCTGGATCTGACAGAATCGTAGTGGATGTTCCCAGCCGTGGGGAGCACCCGTCCCGTCTGGGGGTGAAGGAAGCAGTCTCTGGGCACAGGAACGATACGTTTATCACCTAAAAGTATCTCCGTGTCCGGTCCTGGCACGAGGAGCCCGGTCAACAGGTCCATCTGCAGCACATCACAAGCTCGAATGGTTCCATCAGAGCCTGTTGTGCGGAAGCAGCATTCAGTGTACACAGACAGCAGACAATTCGCCATTAGAAGGACTGGCTACAGATACACAGTCAAAATACACAGTCAAGTCACTTTACAGTACATCCTGTGAAGCGCTTTGAGACGTCTCGAAGACGTGATGAGGCGCTGTATCAAATGCAAGAATTATTCTTCTTATCGCTATTTCCTCACCGATTAATTCCTCCCTGGAGAGAAGCCCTGTCGTCCCGGGGGCCACCACCTGCGCTCCCGTTCCCTCCCCCAGCACAGCCCAGGCATCCAGCCTCCGGCACTCCACCTCCATGGCATCTGACAGCTGTGACAGCAAGTCCTCTACACGCGCAGGAACTCTGAGGAACAAAGTCACAACGGAAAGTCAAAAGAAAGTTACGATGGAACACATGCATAGGCACTGCACCTCAGGGAGTTTATGATTCACCAGGACGTAAATGGTTAAATTATGAGGCCCAGTTGATACAAGGGCTTAAGTGGTTAAATTTTGAGGACAAGTTACATTGGGATGTCCTCCCGACGTGAAAGGCGATAGATACAAATGTAATTTTGTATTGTATAAACTTTGGGTTGAGAAGGTTGAGGGGATGATCTGATTGAGGTCTTCAAAATAGTAAAGGGATTCGACAAGGTAGGTGCAGAGGAACTATTTCCTCTGTTGGGTGGGGGAGGAATCCAGGACAAGCGGGGCATCATCGTAAAATTAGAGCCAGGCCATTTAGGAGTGAAATCAGGAGGCGGTTTTTCAAAGGTTAGGGGAAATCTGGAACTCTCTCCCTCCCCCAGAAGGTCTGTGGATGCTGAATACATTCACATTTTCAAGACTGAGGTGGATAGATATTTGTTAGGTCAGGGTATCAAAGGGCGAGGGCAGGAAATTGGAGTTGAGGTGCAGACCAAGTTTGATCTTATAGAATGGTGGAACAGGCTTGAAGGGCTGAATGGCCTCCTCCTGCTTCTACGTTTCTTTACAGCTCAAAGTTCGAGTGAACTATCAAATTAATTGGAGTGAGGTGGGGAGAGGAAATAATCTAGAAAATAACCAACTGCCCAGTCCAACCTGAGCAGCTACATCGCTGTCCTGTCTACACCCTCCCTGCCTCCCCGTCTCAAGACCCTCCTCTTCGACCGCAACTTTGGTTACCCTCCCACCCCCACCCTCCCTGCCCTCCACCCCTCCTGATCCCAGCCCCAGGCTCGGATGCACATCCTAGACTGTCCAGCGCCTTGTGACGTCCTCCTGATGTGAAAGGCGTCATTTGCTACTGTTGTTGTTGTGTCTTCCTACCGGCCTCCCTCTGTGCACACACTGTGTGTTGTTGTGAGAAACATCGCATCACATCGCTCCCTCGCACTCTCACGCACGAACTCGTGTCACAAGCTCGATCGCATAAATGCGCAGTAAATACCGCTGTCTCCCCGTGTCCGCTGGCATTGCACTGCTCTCCTCAGCATCTGTGCCCTCAGCGCTCTCCTCCAGCAGTCGGATGGCTTCTCTCATAGCCGCGTTGAACAGAATTCCGTGTTCTTCCCGGCTTCTCCAGTCTGTCTGGATCAGGAGCCACTGCTTGTTCACAATCTCCTGATGTTTCATCCCAATCCGTTTCCGCCTTTCCACCTCTCTCTCGATCTAAGGGGAGGCAGAGCAGAGGGTCAGTTATGTTCCAACCCATAGGTTGGGAACTCAAGGCAGAAATCTTTGACCATTGACCATTGACCAGGACTCTGTCAGCCTGGTGCAGTGGTAGCGCGCTTGCCTCCGAGTCACAAGGCTGTGGGTTCAAGCCCCACATCGGGACTTGAACTCACACAGTCTAAGCTGACGTTCCAAGGCAGCGCTGGGGGGGGGGGGTTGCATTGTCGGAGGTGCCGTCCTTCAAACGCGATGTTAAACCGAGGTCCCAACTGCCTGTTCAGGTGGACGTTAAAGATCCCATTCAAAAAGAAAAGAGAGTTTCTCTCTCCCCTGGTGTCCTGGCCAACAACCTTCCAAATAAAATTGATTGCTCACTCCATGGCTGTTCGTGGGACACTGCTTTGTGCAACTGTCTGCCACGTTTTGCCCACAAAATACACAGTCACTACACTTTACAGTGTATCCAAAAGGCGATTGGGCACCAGAGACAGAAAACGAGCGAAACAGAGAGTGAAAGAGAGAGAAAGAGATAGATGGGAAAATTGACGAATGAAGAAGCTGACAAGTTAGAGAGAGAATAAGAACCAACAGATGAGACGATACCTTGTGGCACAGTTTTTCATACGTTTCCAGGTCGTCGCTGTTGACAACTGGAGCTCGTCCAGAGAAACGCATTCTCTTCATCCACAGCTCCCGGAGTGAGTCTGTTTCCTTCACTAGTTTTTGATACAATGCCTTCACCTGCAATGGACGGGACACACAATTAGAACAATAATTCCAAATCGGTGTTGATTTTTCTTCTTCCCCTGAATTCAGTATCCGCCCCTCATTCCTCATCATTATTATGATTGATTGATTTATTGATTGATTGATTGATTCATTGATTGATTCATGGACTCATTCTTTGTGAAGAATACAGCTCTTCAAACTCCTTACCTCATCCTTCTGTTCACCGAGCCTCAGGGACACAATGACCGACTGCTTCCGCAGCGTCTCATAGAACGCACTCGCACTGAAACCCTCCAAATCCACTTGCTCCTCGTGATCCCAGAATTCATCGCTCCTCAGGATCGAATCTGAAAAAAGGGAATAAATCTTCACTTTCCAGAAGAGCGGAAATATCCTTTAACTCTGACTGGGTTTAGTTAGTGTCAACACCAGCAACAACTTGCATGTATCTAGCGCCCTTCACACAGGTTAGCTATCAACCCACATTGCGCAATTTACACCCCTCAAAAAAACAGCTGGCAACAATTGCTTCACCCTCGCTCTCCTGCTCGGCGCCCTGGACCGTGATTCTCCGATGGCATTTCTTCACCGCGGTGACTGCCGACCCCTTGGAGGAATAATCGTCAAAGCTGTAGGTTTTGTGCCGGGCGCGGTAGTCGGGGGAAACGAAAGCTTTCTCTGGCCAACGCGTACCTCGCACCACAACCTGCAGGTTTGCAACGGAAAAGGGACTCAGAGGTTTTCAAACGTCTCAAATTGCTTCGACAACTCGCATATACACAGCGCCCTTCACACATAGCGCTCGACAGTGGTACTCTATC